TTGGAAATGAAATTGTAATCCATTCGATGATTTGAAGATCTGGATATCCTATACTGTATACATAAATAGTAGAAGCCAATGGGTTTCTTCAACTAGATTGCATATATAATCATAAGTGGTTGATTTGATAATGGTTTTTTAAAAGTGTGACCATTTTGGAGCTCATCATTCTCTTGCTTGCCGAGATAGCATGGGGATGACATATGTACGTACGGCATGACGGCATGATGGCATGATGAGAAACAGGAAAGGCAATCAAGCAGTAGATAGGTAGTTCCAGATACGTCCTTCTGTTCAGAAATATTAAATACTTCCTGGCTCTCACAATCATCATCTTTTGTTCTGTCGTCGATCAATACGAAAAGTATACAGAGTATCGATATTCATCATCTCTATCTCACATCCTGATATTCCGAAAAATGTATTTTCAATCACCACCTCACAAGCTCTAACGCATATGAACAGTGTCCAAAATGAAAGTTCGTCTTATTCAATACATATGTGCCAATCCAATGCTAATTTTGAGTCACCTTAGAAGCCAGCGAACAGACATAAAGCCATATGCTATCGAGAAGGACAGCGGCCTTTTGTACTATCTCGAGGCTGCATGTTCAATCCCCCAATTTACTCTACTCATGTCATCCGAGTAGGTGCGTGTCCAAACAAAACAAAGTAGAAAAAATACATTAGTGTGTAGAGCCAGGACTATAAGGAGAAATTATGAACATGTTGTTCTTTTCGTAAAGCAGTAAGTTCAGGATATTCCATCCATCCATCCATCCATCCAAAATACCATGAAGGAGGAACCGCACCAATTCCATAGGACTGTGCATCGCGTGTGCCATGAAAGGAACTCGGCGAGAAGAAGTGTCTCGAGGGAAGCGAGGCAAGATGCGCATTGAAAAGAAGAGACCTGCTCATCAAACATGGAAGTTATGCATGATAACCATGCCCCAATTCCTCAATAAATATTCTCCAGGTAATATGAACCCACATGCGTACATATCAACCAGGGAACTGATATGCAAGAGGATAGCCCATACGCTCCAGAAGATCAAACCTCCATATCTCTAATAGACGAATGACACGTTGAGGTAAGATTTGTTTCATACCAAGGAAACCATTACCGCCGTGCTGCGCAATTATTTGGTAAAGCCACCTACGAGTAGAATCGTTTTCTGCAAGCCAAAGTTTGCGTTCGTAAGCAACCGAGAGAAACAACCAAAGTACACTATAGACGAACATATGAAATACCAAACCCCAAAAGGTATCCCAGGCATTTGGTAATCTTCCACGCTTTGGATTGAATAATACAGAGAGAAGTTTAGGTCCAGTTTTGGGTGGTCTTTTAGCATCCGGAGGTTCTCCAGCTGCATCATCGTCGTCGGAATCGGAATTGTCATCATCATCAGGAGGTGGTGGATTCCAGGGGCCCAGTCCAATAGTCATTGCAGGGAACCGACTAAGAACGCTCAACGACCGCTTACACCAATGGAAGAAAAGAATGAGGAAATTGAATTCGACCAAGAGCCAGCAAATGACGGGATTGTGAGCGAACACTCGGAATGGCGTATAACGAATTGGTCCCGGGATATCTGCACCTGGTACATCGACGAATACGGTAGGTCCTGGCACAGGTACCTCGCGATCAACGTATTGAATAGGACCGGGAACTTGAACTTCTCGAATCACTTCTACTTCTTTAATCTGGATTTGGATCTCAGGAGGACCAGCAGCAAGGCCATGTCCGCGACGTCTGGTTTTTTTGTTGATGACTTGGAGATCGGGACTACCTTCTCCTTCTCCCTCTACCACTTCCTCCTCTTCCTCCTCGTCTTCGGCTTCAGAAGAGCTGCTGCTGCTGCTGCTACTCTCGCTAGAGTCTTTGCTTCCTGCCGCTGAACCTCTCCTACTATCACCGTCCGTGGGTTGATAAGTTCCTGGGGCTGGGTTGAAACCTGGTTTTTGGGCCATTCGAGTGTCTATAATCTGTTTTATGATACTGCGGCACATCTCGATATAGTCTCTCATCAGCTTTTGCACTTCCGGTGACACTCCAACTCCTCCTTTGGCCACAAGATCTTTGTTGGCCTTTTCCATCTTTTCAAGAAGCTCCTGAGTTTCCTGTTCTTTTTTCACCAAAGCCTCTTGGACCTTTTTGTTTTCTTTTTGAACCTCTCTAGCATCGTGTCTGAAATCATCAAGTCTTTGCTTTTCAGCGGCCACACGTTTTACGAGATTTTCCTTTTCAGTCATAAGGTCCGCCAAATCTTCCTTGTACCCATCAATATCGTAAATCATTGACTCATTTTGCGCTTTCGCCTCTTCCAGTTTTCTCCGAGTTTCTGCGACATCCTTTTGCAGGTCTGTTACAGCGCGCTTCAAATTGCGCCTTTCTCCCTCGACATCGTTACATCGCTGTTCTCTAACATTGCACGCCTCTTCCCTAGCAACCGTTGAAACTTCGAGATGTTCGATGTATTTGTCCTTTTCTATGATTTGTAACTCCAACTTTGTAATCTGCGCTTCAAGGACCGCTATAGTCGCAGCGTTTTCTACTGTTGCCTCGGCCATTTTATCCTGTAGGTCAAAGTGTTTCTCTCTTAGATCCTTGTACTCGACGGTTTGCTTCTTCTTCTCTGCGGTATATCTTGCTTCGAGATTCCGCTTCTCTTGAATGTATCTTTCTTCGAGAACTGCGAAATTTTCGTTCTTCCTCTTTTCTTCGATATAACCTGCTTCCAATTTCGCAACGATAGGTTCAAAAGCTGCAAGATCGATATGTGCTGCTTGAAGTCTTTGGTCATAGGATTCGAGCTGGGCGACTCTTGTCGACATCTGCTCTTCCTTTTGTTGGGTCAACATGCGCACTTCTTTGAGCTCCCATTCAAGCTGCGTTTGCTTTGTTCGATGTGCGACGCAATCGGTCCTGGGACAAGGCTTCAAAGGACTGTACATTCCAAGGTCAGCATTGTTACGCTCATCACGTGAATTATTAATAAATACTACTTACGTGCCATCCTTCTGCTTTTGAGCTGGCGCATCGTCAATATTGAAGGTAAAAGTCGCGCCCTCAATGGCCGTCGACTGAAGATTTCCGAATTCCATAGACATTGTTTTGTTGATTATTAATAATTTGTATGATGATGTGAGTTCTGGAGACAGGAAAGGGAAGAGTTAATTTTGCGAAAAGAGAACTGTATGTGTGAATTTATACCATTAGATTATCAATCTCTTATAGTTTTCTATCGTACGGTTGTAGTTTGTTGATTGGTTGTAGGTACTGGCTGTAATGACTTTCTTCTTCTTATGTACGGGCGTTTGCGTTGTCGTCAGATTCACTTTTGCCTCGCGAATTCAATATCAAATTCTGCTAAGTATCGTGGCAAGCGAGTAGAGTGAATAGGAAACTACCTAATTAGTAGACATCAAATTTTGCAATGGCAGTCAACAGGTCGAAACTCAGCAATTGTGTATGCTGGGCTCAAATTTTTGCTTCCATCCAGTGTGACATCACCTCTGATGTTCGATGTCATTTTCGAACTTTAAAAGTACCAGTCTCGCCTTATCAATACTGTCTCCCCAGTGGCTAAAGTGTAAATGGTGACAAATTGATGCAATCATGATGCTTTGGATTTGAGCTTTTGAATATCGAAACTGGCCGAGAATGTTAAGAAGTATCGGCTGTTAGCTTTAAGATCTGAACTTTACAACCACCTGGTGAACCTGAGAGTAGAACATTCATATACACTATCATTAGCTACGTAAATAGGTAGGTATATATGGGTGCCTAGGTAGGTATGTATACTTTTATTCCCAAAGTAATTCTGTGATAGTGAAGATACTCATTTTTCTTTTTGACAGCTGTTGACTATGCACAATGGGATTTGCATCATTCGTCGGCATCATTCGAAGAGTCGATGCCGGGTCTTTAAACCCAAGACCGATTTACCTACCCAATATGTTTGTCATGTCATCTGGTTTGTGAGACAGTAGCTATAGATGGAAGAATATAAAAGGAAACATAGATGCAGTAGAGATTTGTCCCAAGGAGGAAGGTATCTTACAGCCCGAGATGTTTCATGTTATTCAATACATTGAAATTCAAAGATGGTCAGAAAAGACGACATTATCCAAACGCATTTCCAATTTTTCTGCAGATTCTACATTCTGACATCCCTATAAGAGGACTTTTCGATTTGAAGAGAGAGGAGGGGGCTTAGTAGCGCTAGTGAAAGCACCTGCCTTCCCAAGAATACCAAAACAGGAACAACACCATCGTTCCTTCCTTTACCCTTCCTTTCAAACTCTATATACTCAAGTCTAGAGTAAAGGATTGCCTGGTGATCGTACCATATAAAACCGTAGGCCTCGTAAGAGAATGGAATGAATCAATGATCCTAAATGCATTGCATACCTAGATACACAATACCATGAAACACTTCAAGCATTTCAACTTTCAACCTTATCTCAAAGCGAGTCTCTTTTAAATAACGAGATTGGTATTCACTATGATCTATCCAACCTCTGTTTCTCAGTGATTTCCTGTCCTGTTAGCTTAACTTCACATGCGAATCTCAGTATCTAGCAAACATCAAAAACTACCTAGGAACCTTGACTCACTGCCTTCTCATCCCCATCACGTAGCAAAGCTTGGCAGAAGCGCCAAGTCCTCGAGCATCTAAAACAGTACTGCTGACTCCACGCTGGGTTTGTAATCGATCTCTTGACCGTCCGTGTATTGAAATCTATGATTTGTACCCGCGGCCAAAACTTGGGAGGACACTGAAACATTACCTAGGTAGATATAAAAATAATATTCATAGCGCTAGCACCCAAGACGTAGTACCGAGCCTAGCTCTTGGCATAGCCGAGGAGAATTCACTACTTCTATTCTCTCCCTTCCCCCCCCTTATTTCTCCTCCTATCACAGCACATGATACCAGGAATCAAATTTCACACACAAAGGATCACAGAAATCATTAAAAAGAACAGCAGGAACATTGGTAAATGTGTAGATCATAATAAAGAGAAGCAACCATATATGACATTAAGAGCCAGGTTTGCAGAACCCCCGCCCGCAGAAGTACAAATCAAATCTCCGCCCCATGAAGCCATTCGTTCCCATAATTTCATACCCGAACCCCCCAGATCAATTCCATCATATCATGCATGACTTCTTAAGCAGAAGCACTAGTAGCGAAACCAAATGAAGGTCCACTCTTGTCAAAAACACCATAGTAAGCATTGAAGAAAACATCTCCATAGATGCTCTGACTACCGCCACCTACACTTTGAAGCGAGCCGTAACAAGTGTTTCCATCCGTAGCTGCAAAATTCATCAAAGAACTCGGGATCGTCGCATAGTCAGTTGGGCCGATTTTGAACGACAAGGTAGGGAGAGTAGCATTGCAAGGGAATACGTATCCTCCATCAGTGCTGGAGTACTTGGCACCAGACACTTGAGCATAGTATGCAGTATTGACGGCGTCGCTCATGAGGACAAGTGTGGTTCCTGTATCGGCAATACCAGTGAATCCTGGTAAGCTGTGGGCGGTAGAGCCGACTTTGTAAGATGTAGAGGGGAATTCCCAGAAACCGTTTCTGGAGTCGACAGGGGTACGCGTGATACTTCCGGTGTATTTGGAAGAATCGGTGTATCCGAAGTCGTATGCTCCATCCGCATTGAATGGGAGGTAGGCGGCGAAGAGTGGGGAACTGAGAGAGCTCTCGGCATTGTCAAAGAAGGTGGATTGAGCTTTTGGTTTAACTAATTGTGTGTGAAGTTAGGCTACGCGGTCTTCTTATCGAGTGATTGCCTAGGTTGCGAAGACTTACCAGTGTTAATGCTGCTGAAAGCCATACCAATGAGTCCATCAGATTCATCAGTGACAAATGTAGAAGAGACTCTGTCGGCAAGTTCAACTGCTTGGCCAGTGACTGTAGTCTCACCAATCTTAACGGTATCTGTGCCTACAGTGCCACTGGCTCCAGATCCATCGGCATACTGGATGCTCCAGGTATAACCTGAGAGAGCCTTGAATGTGGAACTCTTACTTGAGGTGTAGCTGAAGCATTTTGTTAGTTCTTGACTTGTGCTATCTCATTTTGGTACGAATGATTCCTTACATGTCATGACCTCTGCGAGAGGAGGCAGCTAGGAGAGAGGAGAAAACCCATCTGATAGAATAGTCAGTAAATTTGATAAAACAAAGAGAGATACATTGATCGTCACTTGAAGCAAATTTGAACCTCTAAGATCACGATTTGCAGGGTGGAGGTATTCAAGAACAGTGGCACTTACAAATCTGCCGAACCAGTGTCCAAATCAAGGTTAAGAGTTTGACCTCCAACGGTAGTAGGAACGAGATACTCAACACGATCGACTGGGAAAGCTAGAACAGAAGAATCCTGTCTCTTTTGGAGTGCCGACATGAACGCATCAGACATTGGTTGGGTAGGCTGAATGTGGTACTTGGCATAGGCCTTGAGCAAAGATGCAGTACCATTGCGAACATAATTCGGATTGTGAATTGCTGTTACACTGTGGGAGGCTGAACCAGAAGAGGCAGCTGCTGGAGCTGGAGTTGGAGCTGCTTGAGCAATTGCTCCGAGAGCGAGGAAGACTGTGATGTGGGAAAGCATCTTTGACAAGTTCCGAGGGCGATGTACAGTTTGAAGATAGAATGGTAGATCCTTGAATTGAGGACTTGATGAGGACTTAATAAGGACCTGGTAGCAAGAGGATTCACTGTCATTTATAATACTTGGCTCTCGTTAGTGGCCGACTAGGAACATTACATACCAGGGAACACCGAGGTGCCCTAAGATTGCCTTTAGATTTGATCGTCCTGTGCAATCCCCCACTACTCGTTCTGTCTCACAACGAGTAGTGAATCATTGTGTCATATCAAAAAGACATTGCAAAAGTACCTAGGCAATGATCTCGTGGTGGGTAGTCCAGCGAATCCGAACGGCTTCAGATATGGCAGATCCAAATCTTTCTGGTCCAATCATAAGACAAACCTGCGACCATTGCATAGGTACAAAGTTAGTATCATCGCATCTCTCCGAGGACGGCGGAATTCCTTCTGATAGGCATAGCTTGCCTGCAGCAGCAAATTCCAAAGCACAGAAGGCACTAGCGATCCCGTGACAACAGGAGGTTTATCAAGGGGCGGAGAGTCACTTCACCGTAAAGGAAGATCTGCACTTTGTCCCCCAGCAAAAAGATTGTATTGTGCCATAACGACAAAAACAGACTAATTTGCTTTGTGAAATAATGAAGAAACAATCTCAAATGCCGGGCATCGTGTGCAGCAGTGGCTGGGAACTCAAGCAGGCAAAGAAGTAAAACGAGCCAGAAGATACACTTGTGGAAATAAGCTTCAGTTTAAGCCCTCGTGAGCTTTACTTGTACCTGATCTACATTAGCACGTGAAGCAGGGATTGTATGACCACGACCACGTCGACGTGGTTTCCACTCCAACAGTTGATCATATACATTATGGCAAGAATGCCCTTAAACGTGAAATCCATCTAATCTTGTGAAGGAAGTTGAGTACGAGATAGGAACAGTTAGCGATATCTAGCAATTGAGGGTTTGACCAAACACAAGATGTCGTGACACCTGACCATAATACTCTCACAACTAAGTAAGTCCCGGAGGTACTTGTCGCCTACGACAGAAGGGATCCCCGAGGAAGAGGGGATACAAAATCTGTAGATAGGAAGAAGGTTTTGCAGAATGGTTAGTTTGCACCTTGGCGAGTCTAAAGATACTAACCGTGCACCTAGAAAAGGTATTTGTCGAGGCTACTAGTCTCGCGGGTGAAAAAAAAAGCTGAATACCAAAAATCAACACTTCAATTGAAATTTGATATTTAAACAAAAAATCAATATGATTTCTTAAAGATTCAAAGATGTATTAATAATCAACTAATAATACCCCTAAATTAATTTGAAAAGACTTGAAATATAAAATCCAATTATGATTCAATTTGAAAAGATTTGAAATATACAATCCAATCATGATTCAATTTAGAAAAGAATTTATTTTCAGATTTTTAAATATTTTATAGGTTTAGTATTCGGTTTCTTCTATTACTCGCGAGCTAGTTGATACTCAACTAATATATACACCAGCGTAACTAACTTTAGAAACCTAATAACTTTATAATACTAAGTATATATATATATATATATATAATCGAATACAGCTTTAAATCCAAAAGGAGTTTAAAAATCCTAAGAAAAAAAAATAATCTCCTAACCTTGGAATCTAGCTCTATACCTAATTTGATATATCAAATACTCCGAAAAGTTATATTTTAAGAATATTATAAAGTCGCCGGGTTTCTAAAGTTTGTATAGTATACAAATTAGCTTTAGGTACCGACTTGAAGCCTCATCAATTCCATTACTAGATATCCGGGGCCATCCATACGATTAGTATAAACTTTGTGTTGCAGGAGCCCTGGAGCCGGAGGCTTCGAGATTTGACAATGTGGCGGCTGTGTGGCTGATACCTGCCGCTAAGATACCGATACCGATAACGTTTATTTAGGTAATTTCATCAATGATGTCGTGCTTTTGGAGTAAACACCTCCAGCTAGTAGTGATTACTAGGTAGGTAGGTACAAATGTAGTGATAGACACTACACTACCTATGTCGTGGAACAATCATCAGTCATACTGACAAAGTAAAACTAAAAGGGGACAGGAAGCGAGGAAGTTAACATGTCGTGAGTTTCATCCAATGGGAGAATTCATTTGCAATATCACAAGGTAACTCCAGAATCTACCCATGACCTGATGGGTTCGCGGGCATCCGAAGATGGAGATCGGCCAACAGGATTATTCTTCAATAAATATTCCAGTCGATAGTAATGATTACTTCGGATTGTGATAAGTTTCGTTCAATTGAATTTATTTGATGATAGACGGTTAATACTCGTGGACTGTACATTATTAGTTTGACGCAACATTCAAGTTGAGCTTAACACTCAAAAAGAGGTTGGGTTTCTATTCAGAGTAATCACGGTTGTTCCGAGTTAAATCTTTAGGTCAACCTGGTTCATCTTCGTTGCAAAATCAAGTTCTCGTTTTTGGCTTTGGAGTTGGATATCATGCATGGTCACCACCTTCACGAAAAGACCTTGAAAGATTGATCGGAGATATATAAAGTTGACATTACATGCATTTTTCTATCTCCTACCGCTCCTCTCAACGACGACCGGACAGGCAAGGCAGGCAGTGCTTTCTACACCTTCATAGTATCCCCTTTGAACGCAGATAGCTGCAGCACTCAAGCCTTGCTCATGTTCTGCGACTAGGCGCCCAACTAGAATAAAAATTGCTAGGTAAGGTGCATCGACATCATCAAAATGGTATCTAGTCCCGGAAAGAGATAGCCTGGCAACGTAGAACAATACACGAGAGAACACAAAGAAACACCGACGGGCCCTATCAGTTGGAAATGTGTACCAAGAAGAAATGATAAGGTTTGAATAGTATACAATGTTTGATAAAGATGGTGTACAACCACACAGAACTTGATGGAAACCCCACCTGACTAGAAATGGAATAACCCCTCTGAGTCTGTGGAATTTGTATGCTGCGCGAGAGATATCTTTTGCGCATGCATACTGAACGGAGATCAGGCAAGTGTGACAAGTAGAATTTGTGAAGCGCGAATTCGCCGCCCGATTGTTGATAGATTATAATCGCGCTTGTTTTCGAAGGTGTTGTACACAGTGATCGATTCTCAAACATTTGCGGCATGTTTGTTACAAACTATACACGACCCAAACTCCAAGCAATGCCATCACCTCATATCTAATCAAATAATGTTGTCGTATGACCGGAAAAGAGTATTTACTTCTGGTAATGAATCTCTAACCCCTGCTCTTGGTATTGAGAATGAGTGCGACAATTAAGCTGAGATAACAAATTAGTATGTAGCCAATGTGATAATTTGAAGATAATTTTGTGAAGTGAGCCTACCCGTATAGTCCCAGGACTTCGCCGAAAATCAATATCAAGACCATTCCAACAAAGATTCGTGATTGTTGCATGTATGATCGAACACCCATATCACCAACTACGCCAATTGCATAGCCAGCGGCCAGGCCCGTTAATCCAACCGATAAACCACATGCCAAATGCATGAATCCACTATGAATATGTCAGTATTTGCCTGTACAAACCCCAACAAGCTGTGCATACTTGAATAAACTGTAACTCTGGCCAGGAGGAGGTCCCATATCTCCAGCTATAAGGACGGCGATGACGAGAGAGTAGACTGCAATGATACCAGACATGACCACAGGGATGAGTGACTAAATCGAGCACCAAATCAGTACGTGTAGCATGTATGAATCTTCTTGGATAATTACGCACCTTCATGATCAAGTCAGGTCTAAAAGTACCAACACCTGCGATTCCGATACCAGACTTTGCCGTGCCATATGCGGCACCGATACCTTGAGGCTATTAGTGAACTGTGCAATAAGTTTGAGCTTGAGGAGTGATGGCATACATCCGAAAGTCATCGCAAAGGCGATACCAGCCTGCAGAAGCTATTAGTATAGTGACATTAACAAGACGACGAATGTTTGAGCCTCGTACCATTCCAAAGAAGGGGGCGAACTTTGGGGCCAGATCTGATTCTGCCATGGTTGATTTACTCGGGAAGTGTATTGAGGTACTAAAGTTGGATGGAAATTGACAGTTGACAGTTGAGAGGTTGCGAAATGAGTGTTGTTGTGTTGTTTGATGAAAGCTATCCAAATCCAGGCTTTCAGTTGGGTGGAGCTAATAGTAAGAAGTTAGACAAGCGCCTCTTTTCTCTTTCTACGCAATCCTCCGTACAGACAGAGCACGATGCACACACACACAATACAGTATACAGTACGTACTGCACCCAGTGAAGTGCACTGACAGATAATCTACAGAGTCACATCTACCCCGAACCGTACGAGTACACACACACCACCAAAATTGTCCAAGGGCGGCTTAGTCACCTAAATGACACCCGAATTCGAAAAAACATCCAATTGTTCAAGTCGATACCTCGTAGACGTATGCATTTGATATCATGTTCGTGAATACAAGAATAATAATTACAATCACAATCACTCTTCCCAAGTCAATTATCAGAGATCAGGGTGCACAGGCAGATAGATGAAGTGCTGATCCTCCAGGAGTTCTCACTACTACTCTACCTTTGATTCCAAGCGTGTTCTTTACTACCCATTCTCTAGCTTTGTGAAGTGTTGATTGAGACTTCCAAGCTTCGAAGGGAAGAAGGATTCCTCTCTCGCCGCATCCGAAAGCCACACTAATAAAAGGATACGGTACCATCCAATGCTCCGGCGCGCCGCCAAAAAAGAACTCGAACTAGCCAAAAATTTAGTTCCAGATAGTACACAACAACAACACCACCGATACATTACAATACAGTACAATTCAGTTCAGTCAGTCAGTCTTCCATAACGAGGAATCCTACTCCTGGTTACCCTTCTAGAGTAACCAGCAGCCTGGGAAGATTCATAACATTCTGTTGAGCCTATCAAGGGAAAGAAGAAGAAGGAGAAGGAGAAGAAGAAGAAGAAGAAGAAGAAGCATACATCTTAACGTCGGCGTCATTCTTCCGATGCTTTTTATCCCATTTATTTATCTCCTCCTGCGAACAAGATAAATAATTAACACGCAATACGACTCTAGAAAGGCTTGCTGATCATTCATTCGCTTGAGCTGATCAACTACTTACAACCCCAACTCATCCTCCGACTCCGAAACAACAAAGTTAATCATTATCTTACCCGTATCTCAACCTCAACAACCACCTCAAATCAATTCGACATTGGAATTTTAAGCCCCGTACTAGTGGATGTTATAGTAGGGTCCATAATATCACCGGTCTTGAGGTTGTCCCGGGGTTAATTCCCTCGGCTTCGAGTCTTGGCTCCTCATTCTAGGCCAACAGAAGGATCAACGAATAGAGTTACATTGCATTCACATAACAAAAATACTCTTTGGCATATAAAATGGCAGATTATCAGCAAGGGCGGGGGAATAGTGGTCGCCCGAATGAATATGGTCATGCTTCGAACTATCAACGGGAAACCGCTTTCTCAAATATCTTCGGTGCTGCCCCTCCTCCCGGCCGATCGCAAACCATGACTTCATCTGTGTCTCCTCCAATGATGCCTCAGGGTCGCACACAAACGATGTCCTCGCAGGTGTCAGGAATGCAAGGCGGAATGCCTCCCAGACAAGCTCCGGGCCAGGGCGGATATCGGCCTCAACAGGGGAACAATATACCAAATGGAGGCGGCATGGCGAATGGCTATTATCAAGGACCCCGACAACCACCTCCTGGACAAGTACCTTCACAACCACAACCTCATTCCTTACCACAGCAGGTTCGTAGCGATCGACGACCGTACCCTACTCCTCAGCGCATTGCACCCCAACAACCATTTCCTCCTAGACCTCAACAGCAGCGATATTACACAGGCAATGCTCCAGCACTCGCCTCCGATCCCTATCGGTCTCAATCGATGGCGAGTATACCCAGGCCACAAATGTACCAACCGCCACCTAGCAACTTCAATCAAGCTCCCGCCAATGCGTTTCGGCAAGCTCAATACCAACACCAACCCGCAAAAACAACCGCTCTCGGACGCAATATTCCAGAGAGACCTGATGAGCGCACAATGTCATTGACTACCTATCCACAAGATCGTGACCAGCATCAGACTATGAGTGGACGAGTGATTCCAAATCGACGGACTTCGGGGAATGGGCCGCAGGAGCTACCAGCTTTTTCTATCCCCCCTCCTGTTCCCGCAACTGCAACACGGACTGCTAGTATGGCTTCTACTGTTGCGCCAGATATGAGCCGATCGATGTCCATGGCTTCAACTATTGTCCCACCGGAGCATTCGGATGTCTTAACGCATCGGCCTTCGGCCAAATCAATTAGCAGCACGGCCGGAGGATCATCTAGACACAAAGCTCCTCTGGTATATCCGGCACTATTGTCGCGGGTTGGCGACTGCTTTCGAGAAAAAATCAATGTCGGTGATAGAACGAAGAATGATCTCACATACAAAAATGCTTTCAGTGGAGCGGAGGCGGTGGACATTATCTCGTATATCATCAAGACCACCGATCGAAATCTTGCCTTGTTGCTTGGAAGAGCTCTTGATGCCCAGAAGTTTTTCCACGATGTCACTTACGATCATCGATTACGTGACTCTGCTACAGAGATGTATCAATTTCGAGAAACGATGATGGACGAACCTCATGAAGCACCAGAAGTCAATGGCGTGTTCGTTTTACTCACCGAATGTTACTCTCCAACGTGTACTAGAGATCAGTTGTGCTATTCGATAGCTTGCCCTCGTCGACTTGAACAGCAATCTCGATTGAACCTGAAGCCACAACCTGGTCTTCGTCGCGAAAAGTCCGAAGCAAGTCTGCATGATGTCGACGAACCTGACGAGCAAAAGCTCTGGATTAACACAGTCTCTCAAGAAATTGCGGATAGCGTTGGTGAACGGGAGAAGAAACGTCAAGAAGTCATTTCAGAGATTATGTACACCGAAAGAGATTTTGTAAAGGATCTCGAATATCTACGAGACTTTTGGATTCTCCCATTACGCTCAGTCAATCAACTCTCTCCATCACCTATTCCAGAGGCTCGAAAAGAGAGAATAGTCAGAACCATATTCTCAAACATTGTTGATCCACCGAGCATTCATGCTATCAGTTCTAAATTCGCCGAAGCACTTACAGAACGCCAGCGGAAGCATCCTGTCGTGCAATGTGTTGGTGATATATTCCTCCAATTTGTACCCCAGTTTGAGCCTTTTATCATATACGGATCAAATCAACTGGCGGGAAAATTTGAGTTTGAGAACGAGCGATCTTTGAATCCCTCGTTTTCTAAATTTGTAGACGAGACAGAGAGGCGAAAAGAGTCAAGAAAGCTTGAACTGAATGGTTATCTAACAAAGCCGACAACAAGACTTGCCCGTTACCCACTCTTGCTAGACAATGTTCTTAAGTATACCGACGATGGAAACAAGGACAAGGAAGATATCCCGAAAGCCATGAAGATGATTCGTGAACTCCTCACCAGGGTCAATGCCGAATCCGGAAAAGCTGAGAATCGCTTCAACCTGAAGCGATTGCACGAACAGCTTCGTTTCAGGCCCAATGAGCGTGTTGATTTAAAGCTTACTGACGAAAACCGAGAGCTTATCCACAAGGGACCCTTGAAGAAGACACCAACAGATCCAACTGATATTCAGGCCTACCTTTTCGACCACGCTGTTCTTCTCGTACGTGTCAAGACAGTGGCAAAGAAGGAGGAAATTAAAGTATATCGTCGCCCAATTCCTCTTGAACTGTTAACTATTCGCGAAATGGATGAGTTTATGCCTAAGCTTGGAGTTGTGAAACGTCCATCATCAAGTTTGATTCCTAGCAAGACTCCTACAAATGATAATAGTAAGAAAGATGGGTTCCCCATCACCTTCAGGCATCTTGGTAGAGGTGGGTATGAATTGACACTGTACGCAAGCAGTGCAGGGATGAGGAACAAATGGATGGAGCACATAGGTGAACAACAAGCCATATTACGTGCGCGAGGCGATTTCTACAATAAATCTATCATTTCTAGTAACTTCTTCACGACCGTGAACAGGGTCAACTGTGTGGCACCGTTCGATGGTGGACGTAAACTGATATACGGTACGGATTCGGGCATCTTCGTTTCTGATCGCAGATCAAAAGATGCTGCTGCAAAGCCACTTCGAGTGTTGGATGCTACCAGTGTCACACAGATTGATGTTCTCGAGGAATACAACCTTCTGCTGGTTTTATCTAATAAATCTTTGCAGTCTTATCCTCTTTCTGCGCTGAATCCGAACGAGCCTGCACTTTCGAAACGACCCAAGAAAATACAGAGCCATTGCAACTTCTTCCGCACGGGGATATGCTTAGGCCGCCACCTTGTGTGCTGTGTTAAATCATCGGCTTTGTCGACTACTATCAAAGTATTTGAGCCCAATGACGCGATGTCCAAAGGGAAGAAGCAAAAAGGTTTCAAAATGTTCAGCAATGGTCAAGACGAGTTGAAGGCATTCAAAGAATTCTATATTCCAACAGAATCTTCGTCCATACATTTCCTCAAATCCAAATTGTGTGTAGCTTGTGCACGTGGTTTCGAAGTAGTATCTTTGGAAACGCTAGAGACTCAATCACTTCTCGATCAGGCAGATACATCTTTGGACTTCGTTGCTCGAAAAGAGAACGTACGACCAATACACATCGAGCGATTGAACGGAGAGTTTCTTCTCAACTACTCTGAATTCTCTTTCTTCGTCAACCGCAATGGATGGCGAGCTAGACCTGACTGGAGGATTGATTGGGAGGGACTACCACAGAGCTTCGCACTTTCATACCCTTGGATACTCGCCTTCGAACCGAACTTTATTGAAATTAGGAATATTGAGACTAACGCTGTTCATATTGTTCCTCATAAGAGCATTCGTATGCTGCATACGAGCACTCGAGAGGTGTGTATCATCTAACATTCATGCGTGAATTTATAAAAAATACTGATTGATTGTAGATCATATATGCTTATGAGGATGAGCGAGGAGAGGATATCGTTGAGGCTATCGACTTTTGGCCAGCTGGACGTAAGCCCGAAGCACAGCCGGTTTCCAATGGCGCCGATTTCCGTGACGGGGTGCATCCTCCAACATCCTCACGTCATTGAGCTTGATTTTAAGCCTATCCCGTACAATTATAATAATATGAATACCCACGCCATAATCATCCTCATCTCGATTCTCAGGTTTAGAATTACATGACATCTGATAAGTTTCGCTCAATCTCTTCTATTATCTCCTAGGTGTGCTGGACACGCTGGTTTTACAGCCAAAGTCGTGCATAATACTTCGGCTCATTTTACAATCTATCGACTTATTGAAGAAATGAGATACCATTTCCCAAGCACGTGGACTTTTATTTTGCTAGCGGTGGCTGAATTTGTTCCTCAAAGTGAAGAGCAAAGGATACTCATGAAGTCAAGGAAAGATGTCAGGGTATGGGAAAGGGGCGACAGGCGTCAGTCAGTGGAAAGGGGAAAAGAAGATGAGATTCCTTCCACTACATCTTTTGATTCTCTCAACTTTTTAACTTTTTTGACACTCGATTGGTTGAATAAAGGCACGCATGATATCTATGTTTCTGTACATTGCAGTTGTAGTCTTATGAATAGAACATGTGTTTCTTCGCTCGTTGATATTAAACTTGGTGAGTCTATTTGCTTGTGAATGTTGTTTAAGTAAAGCTACGTAGAAGTTGACATATGACGATGCATTCGAAATACCTTCTTGTAAGCCGCAAGATTTGGTAGAATCATTGCAATGTAATCAAACAGTCATCGTGTACAAGTTAGGGAGGGTTAAGCGGGCTTTGGAGTTAGAAGAAATCTATAAATTTGTGCAGCCAACCAACTTTTCGATGAATGTTCCATTTTTGGCTGACCGGATATGTACACCATCCGAACCATTCTAGCACCCCTATTTGATCTATAATCTATGGGAATTTGGGTGCTCTATTCATCTTTCAAAATCTCTCGCTGTGCTCGGAAAACCTTACTCCTTTGCTTAATCATGTGTGTGAATAAAATATATGAACCTGCATCTCGTTAGCATCCCCATATCTTCAAGATTATCACCATGAAACATACCAGGAATATAAATAAGCAGAATTGCTTTCAAAACTAAAGGATACAGAGATCCATATATTTCTCCCGCAGGTTCAATAGCTTTATAAATCAACCAACATTCACTACTGATCCCCAATGGATATAAAACGAAGAAGGTATTATAGCGAAACCAAGTAACGATATCAGGCTTGTATCCACTAAGTGTGATAACGAAGTAAGAGTATCGAATTACTTCGGTGACACTCCATGCAATGAGCATTGTAGAGTATCCAGTGCTTTTAGCTACCCATGGGAATGGGTTGACGATGAACCAGACGAGGAGGAGTCGACTGGCTACTTGCATACCAGTTGTGCTAATTGGGGCTCGTACAACTCCTAGAGATTGAGAATTAGTATTGTCTCAATCACAAGCGCATAAAAAAGGACGGTGAGGGAAAGAACGAACCAAGAGCTGCATGCACAACCTCCAAAAGTGCCATGGTTTGTGTCCATTTTACAAAGGTACCAACAGCAGGATACAAACGCCCAAATCCGACGAGTGGGACAAGGAGAACTACTCGACCCAAAACGACGAGCCAGAGAAGTGCGGACACAAAGTTGTAGAGGATTAGGTATTGGGTTTTGCGATTGGAGGACTGGAGGGGTTTCGGACCACGCTTTTTGACGGGGGGTGAGCGGGTATCTTGGGGATCCATGGTTGTTATCGCAGCGGGGGAGAGAGGGCTTGTGTTGGGTAGAGGAGGAAGTACGAGTGAGTGAAAGAAAAACTTGTTGTTGACCTTGAAGTTGATCTGAATGAAGGAGGGAGTGTGGTGTTTACGTGTTGAGGATTGATAGACAAATTTTGGAGCTTGGGCCATCTAGTATACCGAGGCCAATAAGCAAATTGAGCGAATGTGGTAGATCTCGAGGTAGATGTCGTCACCATTTTCTTGTTTCTAACATATTCACAATTCAAAATCTCCTTCATGTTTTTGCTTCTTCGATCATGTCTAGGAGCATGATTTGTTTGAGTAGTTGACAACAAGTCTCGAAATTTCACTCGGGGCCAGCCTTCTCACTACTGGAGAACACATCATATCACTGGCTGTGTCCCACTCCTTATTCTCTCCATCAAAAAGATATCACCACTTCATTGTTTTGAGTTAACTAAGACATTAAATGTGGCTGAATTGTATAGAGTGTATCGAATGTTCATCTCATGGTCTCAAATCAACCCATGTTTGCGATGAAAGATTGGCATTGAAGCATCATTTCGTGTCTAAGGGGCAAACTTATTGTCCTAGGTAGGCTTGCTGTTCTTCCTTTTTTCGTTGCCTCTGTTTTCTTTCACGTCTCTTCCTACATCTCGTTTCATCCAATACATAGTGTATTCAAAGTTTATCAAATGGTTGTCTGTAAAGGCCATCACATCTGCGCCCGTATCACAAACGAGCGGCACAAGGCTGCACTACTCGTCACCATATTTACATTTTATCTCGTTTGGCATGCAATAGTCGGCCCAACAATGTGGCATTCCTAGTGGATTGATACATAGATACGAACTGTTTTGCACTTGAAACAGTATCTTCAGTGAACATATTCGATAAGAACAGCACCCTGGCGAACCATAATCGCGGGACCAATAGTCACCAACCAACACGCGCTGTACCTTGAGAATTGCACGCTTTTGGCCGTTGGATTGCGGCCCAGGGATGTATTGCAACCTCATGTATCTCGGGATATAGGAAGGATATTTTTGTAATGTTATTTGTGACTTTTCAGCCTTTCGGCTGCAGAATCTAAAGCTTGCTAGGGAGTAAATCTTCGAATCCATGCACTTTCGTGTCAACAATTTCGGGATAGTCCCAATACAAATACAATTGCATAGTTTATAAAAGAGTTGGATTTCCCACTTACTTTCAAAACCGTATTCTTATTAAAATCGTATACAGCAGGACTGTTTTGCATAATCTTGTGAGGGGCCAGTTCGCAGACACTTCTCAATCGATAGTACTTAAATTATCTTAGACTCTCAACTACAACAACACAATCTTAACCTCTCCAAGGCGATCACATCATGGTTTCCGCATACCCAGATCTCAAATCACCCATAGGACATGACTTTGGAGATGAACAGACACAAGCAGAGCTCGAGCTCATGGATGAACTGCACAAGTTGGGCGTCTCCAAATATGTGAATTTGCCCCAAGTATGTCTTTTCTCTTGCGCGTGTTACTTTAAACTTACATGTTCTAGTTGATCGTCGTTGGAGACCAAAGTGTTGGTAAAAGCTCAGTGCTCCAAGCTGTGACAGAGATTCCTTTTCCAACCGATGATAAGATGTGTACTCGCTTTGCAACCGAGATTGTGCACAAAAGAACTTCGCCAAGTGACACAGTTTCGGTGACCGTTGAGATCATTCCTGATTCCAATGAAACTCAAGAGCGGAAGGAGTTATTGTCCTCATGGCGTCCGTTAGCTTTCGGGCCCACGCTTGACAAGGAAACCATGAATTCTATATTCAAGCAGGTTCGGCTCGAGACAGATATTTTTCTCTACGATTTAGTTACTTACAAGTGCATAGGCAGAATCTGTTATCATTGAAGACCATGCCGATGTCCGGCCTGGTAGAAGACCGAAATACAATAGATTAAGTAGCTCTGTGCTACGCATAACTAGACGTGGCCCCGACGAGAAGAATTTTGCGATTGTAGACATACCTGGTCTCGTCCGTGGTGAATATTACCATCATTTACTTATGTTTATAGAGCTGACAGTGTATCCCAGGTGATGCTAAGAACACGGAGCATCAAACAGCCAAAACTCTTGTCCAGCATTACATGCATAACCCAAGAAGCATCATTGTGTACGTCCTGGCCCTTAGACAATATCTTACTTGGTCATTCCACTTACATCATCAAGGGCTGTTATTGATGTGATCGATCTCGAAAGGCAGGAAGTCCTGCATATGCTCGACGATATAGAGGATAAAGAGTCTAGGATAGTTGGAGTTATCAACAAGTGTGATACCAAGCAAAAGCAATCACACGACTGGGTAAATTGACCTAATATTTCTATAAAATATCTTATTGACAACTTTCGCAAGGTTTTTGAGCTCATCAAGAATGATGACCAATCCCCACGATACCTGAAAGAAGGGTGGTACGGTTTGCGTAACAGGGCACCAATCGAAGCCAACATCAGCGATGCAGAAAGAGACGCTATAGAGGATGCCTTCTTTTCAGGCGATGAATGGAATCGATTAAATAAAAAGAGGCTTGGCAGACATCATCTACGAAGTAATCTGATAAAGATGCGGAATAGACATGTCAAACAGAGTATACCCAGTCTTCTATCCGAGATCAAAGCAAAGCTTGCTCTGTGCAACAATGATATCTCCAAACTAGGGCCACCATGCGATACCAATTTCCAGCAGTTTACCTTGATAAATGGAATTGCAACGAAGTACTCTAGAATGACGGAAAATTCTCTAAATGGCAACTATCGAGGGCTTGATAAGTCTGATATGTTTGCGAGAAAGCTAATTCGAGATGGGCTTGACAAGTTTTGTACTACATTACAGGCAGAGGGTCCAGTGAAGCCTTTTGTTACTTGTACAGCAGAGGCGAAGCTTATCCCTGCCGACGACGGAATGACATGGTCGGAGAAACTCATGAAAGGTATTTAGTGATATTAATATGAACAACGAAGAGACGAAAATGCTGACATGAATCTATAGATCCAACCTATGGCTGGATACGTCAAGTAATTGAGAGCTTTCGCGGGACCGAATTCCCTGGTGACCTCAATCCATTAGTAGTCGACTTTTTGTGGAGAAAACAGACCACAGGCTGGAGAGCCATCGCTGAGGACGCTCTTGCTGAGGCAGAGAGCATTGTTGAACGGGTGAATGAGGCATTATTTCAAAGTGTTTGCTCAGATGACGATCTTCGTGTCAAATTGCGGGACTGGCTGCATGCCGATTTTCAGAAAGCATCAGTCAACGCCGCGAAGGAGCTCGAACGTCTAATTTCAGATGAAATTGAAGGTCATCTCTTTACCTTGCATCCCCATTTCACCGCACTGCGAATGCATAGACAGCAGAACAGGATTAACGAAGTTACGAGCATTCTGGCGAAGGAAAAAGCGTGGATGAAACAAGAACAAGGCGGTGCACTGATTCCTAATCTATCCATCTCATCGGATAAAATTGTGGGAACCGAACTATATCATGACAAGGAACTAGCGGTAGTTTTGAATACTCATGATAGTCTCGAGGCCTACTATGAGTTGGCTAGATATCGATTCACCGACAACGTTGCAACTCAAGTCATTGAAAGGCACCTGCTTGGTCCGGATGGTCCACTCCGTCTTTTTTCTCCTCAGTATGTTTCAGAGAAATTATATGGGGAACAAAATGAGGATGCATTAAGCAACTTGGTTGGCGAGAATCCAAAAAAGGCCCAAAAGCGACATAGCCTCGATACTGAGAGGCGCAGTCTCGAAGAAAGTATGAAAAGACTTCAAGCTTTCAAAATGCTTTGATAAATCTCTTGTTAGGATTTTTACAAACGCAATTACCGTTAGTTTTGTAATTTCAAAATCACATTTTTACGTACCACTTGTCTCTCTGTTTCCCTTTTTATAATTCCTTATGCGTCGGAGTCTGATCATTCACGACCACGGCCTGCTTAGAAGAACCACCTGTCGTTCAGCTAAAAAATATCTTTTGCCATGAGGTCTAAAACGTGCCACTTTTCAATTAACTTCAAAACCTGTCAATGAGCTTTACAAACATGACCCTATCGCCCACTCATCAGCCAATACAAAACTTCCTCCAGGGTGACTCCACATCTTAAGAAATGTAGATCATCTGGAAGAAACTTCTAGGCCTGCGCAGTATCGTTGGTGGTGTAGTACGATGCTCGGATATTTGTGTTCTTGACGAAACAGATGTTGGTACTCTTGAGTATTTAAGATAAGATGCAGTCCTTCATATCATACTAAATCATCCCATCGTCAATCTACAGCACATAGCATCCAGTCACATCGCAATTTCAATAACTTCTCTGAAAGTTCAATCACCCTTTCTACAATCACCATGAGCCCGTCACTTTTCTCTTTCGGTTCTGATAAACGTATCGACAACTGGATTGAAGAAAAAGAACTCGAGAAGTATGATTTGAAGAAATATGAAAATCCCCAAAAAATGAGAGTGTCAAAGGAATCGGATGCGAAGGATGTAGTGAGAAGAATGTATAGATACAAGCATAAAGAGGACAAAAGCAAGGATTTGTATGTCCTAGTTCCTGGTCATAAGAAAGAGAAGTCCCCTGGTCTTCTCGGTGGTGGTGTAACTGAGCACACGATTACTAGAACTACAAAAACTTCTGATGGGCGGGGTAAAAACCTGAACTTGCCTATTAATATTAATTTGGGAAAGCAAAACATCACTATCAAAGTTGAAGATGGAGAAAGATCTAGACGTCGTGGTGATGGTGAGAAGGAGCGACATAGACATCGTGGTGATAGTGAGAAGGAGCGACATAGACATCATCGGCGTCGGGGAAGCGGCGAGACACATGACGATTCCAAAGACGACGAAGATTTCTCTCGCGATCGCCGAGAAAGAAGAAGAAGAAGAAGTAGAGACCGCTCTCGTGATGGCGCTGATTCAAAAGGGCGTGGAACTGACGGAAAGGCCCGAGAATATTCCAGATCTATGAGACAGGAAGAAGATTCTGAATCCGACGATTCGAGCTACACAGACAATGAAAGTAAAAGGAACGCAAATGATGACTTGCAGTCTAATTATTCTGGAAAAGTATCTTCCAGGGGACACTCTGCAAGACCCCCGACTATCCACCTCCCCTTTAAAAAGGAGAGTCGTACAAAGGAGCGCTCTGAGATTCAGTCTATAATAGAAGATGGATCTATAGCATCTTCTCATAGACCACCCATTGATATTCAGCCTCCTCCAAGAGCTCAGTCTATAAGAAAAGATGGACCTGTAAGATCTTCTCGTAGACCACCCCCTGATATTCAGCCTCTTCCAAGAGCTCAGTCTATAATAGAAGATGGATCTGTAAGATCTTTTCAAACATCATCCTCGAAGAGCAAGCATTCTTCAAGAGCTCCATCTGCAGCGGGGCAATCTAGATTATCCCAAAACACTGACACCTTACTTCCTAGCTTGGACAAACTAATAGAAGAAAATAAGGACGTTTTAGATGGGAAGACTTCTCAGGATGGTCGTAATTCGACCTCAAGCCAACATCTAAAACCCAACTCCCGAGAGGATTATAAAGCAAATAGTGATAGACGACGTGCGGAAAGGGGAAATAGTGGCCTATCCAGCAAAAATGTACCGTAGTCCATCTGCGTATTATTTATTTGTTTAACTGGCGTTGGAGTTTGGAAAATGCATATGGAGTTAGCAGCTTCGGAAATATATTAGAATACATGGTTTTGTTTGTTTGTGTCGGTTCCAAAAAATCATGAAGAATCTATTGACTATCTGATTCACTTCAATACACTCGTGATATTATTAGTAATTCAGTGTATAGCGAGGCACAATTTCCCTCTAAATTGCGTGATTTCCAGGTGAAAAGATGCATTGCAGAGGATATATATTAGGATTTATAAGCTAGATCCCTTATTGGTTCCCCACGCTCGGTATGAGATCCACCCCCACCTGACCCCTCCTACGATTTCATCGTTCATGTTGTGAACAAGCAAACAGACAAACAAACAAACAGGAAAGAAAATACACACATATTACTGCAAAACAACGCAGAATTCTTAGGCTATCTCACATACGTAGATTTACAATGTTGATCACAGGAATCGCTCACGTAAATCTTACGGTGCTACCCGGCACTCTTCACTTGGCCAAAAAGTTCTACGACGAAGTGTTGGGATTCACCTCGGTTCCAGTACCGGTCTTGCAGAAAGATCATCTTGCTTGGTATGGCCAGTCTTCCTCTTCCTCACTGTCTCTAGCAGTATTCTACGATCCTATCGATCAATTCCAATCCCCATATCTGTTCATGGAATTGTACTAATAGATCCCCAAGGTTTGACATTACGCCCCAAGGCCAACAGATTCACATCTCGGACTCCGCATCTCCTTCGGAGCCAAAATCTTCTCGGCATCCATGTTTCAAAGTCGCGAGTCCAGAGGCTTTGATCGAATTGCAGAAGAGAATTTGGACGTTCTACGAGAGTGGGGAGGCTGGAGAGGCGAGACCGAGAGAGGCTGATAAGCCTGGTGAGGTTGATAGTGGTGAGTCTCTCACGTAGTTCTTTTTCTGAAGAGAAGTGTGATCTTGAGAGATAAGGCGGAGAAAGCGCGAGGGGAGAATGAATGTATAAATCACCCATATTGACTGACCTATTCAGGAGCGAAAGGAGTGGAATACCCTGTCAGATTCTTTGCTAGAGATTTTGCGGGAAATAGGCTGGAATTTAGTTCGTAATACAGGTGGCTACTGTAAGTGTCCCCTTTTCGTCCATATATCAATCATTTTCAGTCGGATCGAAAGTCGTCACGGGCGACTCTGGAAACTTTCTCTTTTGTTGTCGTTCTAGAACATAGAATGCATTGTTTTTTGAACGAATCATCCGGGTCCCCATTTTTATCTATTTCATCTATCTTCCCTTGTATGCTCATGAGAAATGCGATCTCACATCGACTATTTCCATTTCTTCGGGAGTCATCAGCTGATATTTATTAGCTCAAGTCCTAACCACACGGATATTAGGCGTGATGTCAGTTCACGACCATAAACTTTCGGATCTCCTTGCCAATTGTATTACGAGAATGAAAGGCACAAGCGCCGGCGCTTAATTCTAGGAAGGATGGAATCAAGAATTGGCACTGTACTGCAATGCGGTCGGGCCGGTCTGTATTTTTCGTTAGCCGCCGTGTAAGTTTGACCACCATCTTTGCGGCCCGAGTTCTTCCAATTCGGAACAGGCTTCCAATTCAATAGGTTCTCTATGAGGCCGAATAACCTTTATGTCCGTGGCGGTGTTCTTGTGACGTTTTAGCATGTTAGGTTGATATGTGGAAGGAATGAACAAACCAACTGCCAAGTATGGTTTGGTACATCTCTCCAGTGTGTAATTAAGTATGATGTGAACAGAAGTTTCTGTATTTTTTGTTTATCTACTCACTCACTTATTCATCTTTGTAGCGGTGTCCAGCTATTGTCTCTCATTCATACTACATTCGTCCCACAAGATCACGCTTGAAGTTCCCCGACTACAGTCATTGTACTTATAGCAACCCTCCCCAACCCTCTCACATAAACACTCATTCTATCACCCTCAACTCTATCCCCAAAGCTATGCCTTCACTCCCACCCCGTTTCCTCCAAGACCGCTCTCCCTCTCCCCCCTCTTCCCTCAAACCACGCTTAGATCCCACAATTCTCGGAGTCCCCGATGACACTGTCAAAGCCACGCAAAAACAAATCGACGCTTATAACAAATGGTACGATGGTTTACCGAAAGAGGCACAGAAGAAGATCGATAAATTTCAGAAGGACCATGGGTTAACGCGGGATCAATTGATTTTGGCTGCGTTGAAGCAGTGGGCGCCGCAGTATGTGGGGACATTCAAGGCGGCAATGTTTTTTGGTATTGTGTAGGTTTTGTAGGTGTGCGTTTATGTAGTGAGAAGAGGAAAGAGATGGGGGTATGGGGAGAAAGAATGGTTGATGGATGGTGTCAAAGAGTTTCAAATGTGTTGACTCGAGAAAAATCAAAGGAAACATACACACAAGAGCAGATATCTTCAATCCATCTTATTCTTATCTTATACCGAATGAATATCCGTGGTATCTTTTGAATGACAGTAAAAGCAAGGTGATTGATGCGGAAGTCTCTATCACGAATACATAAATAGGCGAGAGAGTATGGAAAATATAGAGATAAACAACCCTAGGGATACTACGATAGAGTGATTACATCCAGTCTCGATATTGAACTCGGCAAAAGACACATCGATGTAAAAAGAAATGCCATAAGAATATGAATCCCATGTTGACCAACCTGTTCCACGTCTAGTAATAGACCAATACAATCGGCTTGTCTCCAGAGGTCAGTGAAGCTTGCGGACAGATATACTGCGTATGGTTCGCTATTCTCGAGTACCTATTAGACGAATGTAACTAGCTTGCCTCAGCCAAGAGTGTAGGTAGAAATACTGTGTATTCTTTCAAGATCGGAGACTCAACAAGGAAACCAAAAACCAACATTGTTGAGAGGATTGTTCCTTATACAAAAGCTAACTGGCAAGAATCGCTAATGTTGGGCGACATGGTAGTCGTAGTGGTAGTGCAATGGCTAGCTATCATGATTCTGAGACATCCCTATCTGATGAGCAAATCAATCTCATAGTTCGCAATTAAAGATATGTAAAACCGGAAGCTATTTCTGTAACAACAATAATTCCACCTATAAACCGCAGGCCATATAATTTCTGTACCACAAATCGCACCTTCCTCTGTTAGATACGCGGCCTACTCCCACAACTTCTCCACTTCCTCTGCACTCAACCTTCTAATGTGAACCTTACTAGCCATATCTGGAATATTATTCCATCCAAACGACCAATCCTTCAACCTATCTATTTCCTTCCAATCGTAGTTCATGAGGAACTCAATCAACATGATTTTCTCAATCGTGAGAGCCACGTAGCGGCCGGGACAGGCGTGACGACCTGGTATCGGTTAGCATTGTTCGGACCAGACGAAACATTCAAACATACCATATCCGAAACTCATAAACCTTTCACTGGGATTCGAGCCCGCTATCGTCTCATCCCGAGTTCTGAATCCCTTGAACACATCCGCATCTTCGTAATGTTCGGCATCTTGATGGATCGCCCATGCCAACCCCTCAATCCTCTCTCCGTACGGAATGTGGATCACCTTTTCCCCATCTTCGCCTTTGCTGATGAAATCCAGTCCTTCTTTCTTCGCTACCTTCCGGCTACCCAATGTATATCCTAACGGATGCAATCTCTGACTCTCCCTCATAAACGCATCCAAACTTCTCAACTCCCCAATGCTTTCTCGATTCCACACTCCCCCAAACTTCTTCGACACGTCTCTAATCTCCCTCCTCATAGGCTCCACATAAAGTTCCTTCTTATGCCCAATAACATCATAGAGCACATGAGTAAACGTAAGCGTCGTCGTATCCACCGTCGCAAAAAAGAACCTACAAATCCTATTATTAACCCCCCACAGCAATTCCTCCTCCCCCTTCCCCTCAAAAACCTTCTTCCCCCTCACATCCTCCACCAACATGGGCAAGATAACCCCCCTCTCATAATCCTCCCCGGTCACATCCCCACGAACCAAGCCCCTCACATCCTCCGTCACCATCCTCTCAATCACCGCAACCTGCTTCGTCGTCTTCATCCACGGCGCCACAAACCCATGACTCCACCTCGGCAAGCGTCTCAACAACATCCCGGAAAAGAATATGCCCCGCGCAAACGTCGCGACATTATGTACCCACACCGCATCGCTCGAATATTTCTCCCCACACAGTATGCGCGACACGATCTTCGCCAGCGAAACATTCACATGCTGAAACAAACACGTGTGTGTCCATCCCTCCCCATCCCTCTCACTCGAATCGTCCGGCGCAAAATTTTCTCGAAACGCAGTCGTCGTTTCCGCGAGGAGGAGCGGGATGATCTCGGGAATCGAACGGGTTAGTTTGGAAATGATAAAGGTCATCATGTCTTCGCTTTCGGGGGAGATGAAGGGTCGCAATAGGAGGAACTGTGTTGGAGGGTTAGTTTGGCATTCTTTCTCGCATATTCCTTACTGGATTCGTTTTTTATATGGATCGAATTGAGTGGAATCACATCAGATCGCATCAGATCAGATCAGACCAGATAAAAATATAAAGATATCAAAGAAGAATGAATAATAAACATACATCTTCATTCGCCTCATACGGATCCAAATCACCCGTCCCCATCTTCCCCGCCTGCGCAAAGACAGAAGTAGGTAATGCCCACTGAGGACCCAGCATTCCATTCAAACGAAACGCCTTTCCATTTTTCGAATACTATTTATTTCATCACCCATTAGCTTCCATCGTTGTATCTTTTTTTTTTTCTAAAAAATAATAATAATGAAAAATAACAAAAACAAAAATAAACCCCCCCAACAAGAAAATAAACCTCACACTCATTCAATTCAATTCAATTCACAAAACCATAATCCCTTAATCCCAAAATCCCAACATCCATACCATACCACACCCAGCCAGCCAAAAGCAAAGCCAAAGCCAAAAACAACAACAACAACAACAAAAACAAAAAAACAACATACCTTCTGATACGCACCCACCAACAATTCCTTCCCCGACAACCCCCTCCACGTCACAATATCCCACCACGAATTCGCGACCAACGGCGCCTCTGCATTGTAGCGACGCGAGCGCACATACGTCGTCAATTGGGACGAGAAAATCCAAGTGACGAACACGATAAGCAGCGATGAATACAGAGAGAGTTCCATGGTGCGAGGGTGTGCGATGGGAATGGAATCTGTGCTTTCAAGGTAGAAATAGAAAAACGATTTACGAAAGAAATGATGAGGGGGGGAGGGAGGGAGGGAGGAGGCAATACTTCAAATGTTGGAAAGCATCGATGATTCAAGAATCCATGGGGAAGCAAGCATTCACTAGTCAATAAACGTATCATGTATGGCTGAGGATCAGATACTCCGCATTAGCCTGGTGAACCGTTGGGTCTACTGATTTCCCCCCGAGTATCCGTGTACTCCATATCACAATGATTTTCGCAGGCAATCCGCAGGCAATCCGCAGGCAATCCGCAGGCGCAGGTATTCCCGAGCTGCAAGACAGCAAGTATCATATCGCTTAGAGCTTCGGTTCCAGATACGGATAAATTTTTCAACGCAACTCGGAAAGATCCACATTTAATATGGAAATAATCAAGAATCCAATTGGTAATGTCTTAGCTTTTATAACCCTAAAAGGTAAAGTTTGCAAAAACTCGCCCATATATACCCGCTATCTCATCCCATCTCCACAAGAAAGTGTACAAGCGATATCATGACATGTTCCCCTGATCTCTGCAACCGACCTCTCTTTAACCGACCCATTATCGTACCCGAAGAACGCCATTTGCAGTATCTAAAACCTGCAAACCAATCCATTGATACAGCCAGCCGTACACCAATCCCATCCTCGTCCCAACATTCGCCAATGAATCCACATTTGAGTTATAATCTAAAACCCCCTGAAACAATCATCGTATTTTGCTGCGAGCTCCTCAGTGTATGGTTCTCTTCCTTCTTTTTCATCGGGATATAAATCGAAATTTTGAGCATCGCCTGGATATCTCAAAGGGGGTATAATTGGACCACGGTATTTTCTGTAATATACATCTTCCCAGATCACTCCTTGAAAAAAAGGGTGATCTTTAACCCGTGCAGCGCCACCAGATATATTTCCGAGACGATGTGATCGATCGAGCGTGCAGAATTGGCGAATGATATCTTTTGCCGCGGGTGAAATGGCAGGTTCGGCAGGGAAAGAAACTGGCTTGCTAACAATTCTGGACGCAATTCTGTGTCAGACAATGTGCAAATGATTCAAAGACAATGAGGAAATGAAATATGAGATACATACTGTTTGTAAATCTCTATTGGGTTCGAATGCCAAAAGGGTGGATATCCTGTGAGGAATTCATATATCAATATACCCAAAGCCCACCAGTCGACGGCCGTCGTATGGCCTTTCGATTGAATAACCTCTGGCGCAAGATACTCTGGTGTACCACATAAAGTATATGTTTCTCCTTTATTCTTGTCAATAAACGACCAGCAGAGCCCTCGAATTTACGCAGCTTACTGTTTCCCAAACGTTTTGCGAATCCAAAATCGACCAATTTTATGTGTCCCTCAGCATCCAACAACAGGTTCTCCGGCTTCATGTCTCTATATGCAACCCCTTCTCGTTCATGTAAAAATTCAAGAATCAAAACTATTTCCGCAGCATAAAATCGAGCTGTGTTCTCGTCGAATCGTTTGGCTTTTCGTAGATAGGAGAAAACTTCACCTCCAGGGCAGTAGTCAAGCTTTAGAAGAGATAGAAATTAGTTTCAGACAGAAAATAGAGGACCCGGATATCCAATTTGATAATGGAAAATGGAGAATTTCGGTAGAGTGAATCTCATGAACGTACCAGCATATACAGTGAATCATGATCAGAAAAAGAAGTAATTAATGTAGTAATAAAAGGATGTCCAGCAACATCTGAAAGAACCGAACGCTCGTGATTGACATGGTCGACTTGTTTAAGTTTGATGACTAGATATCGTCAGTCAATGATATTGACTCTGCTTCTGCCAGTCAACTCTCACCCTCGACTTTCCGCAAGACCTTCAGCGCAAAAACCTTATCGCGATCCTCTTCAGCGGGGTTCGCAAGACGTACAAGCCAGCTACACAATATAAAATCAGAATGTATTCAAGCGAGAGATCCATGAGGGTGAATATCGTACACGCGAGCGAATGTGCCTATTGAATGAAAATCAATTAGCATACATTACGTGCAGGTTCCGTCATTAAGCTACACAACACAGCACATCGCATAGCATCGGAGCGTACCGGTTCCTAAAGTCCTCACCAACTCAAAGTCTCGCACACTCAAATTTCTCGAACTTGCTCCCAAACCTTCATTCCTTGGATTTTGTTGGATTTCACCGGGGGGCGAGATTTGCTGCTCTTTGAAGTGAGCCACGAAGTTTCTTTCTTCTTCAGCCGCAGCCGTCGTGGTCTCAGCCATTGCGATTTGACGTGACGGTGAGAGTCTCGCGAGAAGAAATATTTGGATGTGCCTCTTATTTTGGAAGACTTCGCGGGCTTACTGGAAGCAGCAGACTACAGTAGCCATGCGGTTATCGCGAAACTTGAGGTACTTGATTTCGAGGGGTGGTGGGGCTCAGTTGTTGAGATGGAGATTCCTATGGATATACCGATACCGATATTTGTATTTTGCGACGACTTGGGACCGAGCTTTATGATTGACTGATAGTGTACATGTATGTATAGTACTAGGTGGGTAGGTAGGTAGGTAGGTAGTCCGAGCAAGTCTTACTCTTATTACTCTCCGCCAATACGGTCTTTGTCTGTGTATAGCAATTGAAAAGGTTAATTGCGTCGGTTATGATCAATTGAATCTATGAAGAGAAGTTCTTCTGGAGTAAAGAGGATACCGGGATGTGGTGAAATTTGAGGAATGTAAGTATGATAAGGAGGTAAGAGGCAAGTGGTGAGTGGTGAGTGGTAAGTGGTGAGTGGTAAGTGGTAAGTGGATTTATTGATTGCAGTATCTTCTTCTTCTTGTTCTTCTTCTTTTTCTTCTTCTTGTTCTTCTTCTTGTTCTTCTTCGTCTTCAGTATTGTACCTGTCTGTATACATAGTAGTATAGTAGTATAGTGGGGGGATGGGGGGGGGATTTCGTCGGGAGGTATCATGACGTTTTTTGAGTTCGGTCTTCCCATCAATTTCATCCGATTAGAAAAAGAAATGGTGAATCTATCCATTCAAAATAAATCCCTGGACCTACGTAGGTACGGAGCAGATCTACCGTAAACCGGTTGAGAGCCCAATGACCTACATATACGGGGTACCTTTTCATTTGCATCTATCGTCGAAGAAACGATATTTGAATTATGGTATTATGGGTTCGGAATTGGAAGATTTCAAAAGAAATGATGCTATTCCCATCCAATCTAGATCACATTCATTTTTTGAAAGAGCAACAAGGGAATAAAGGGAGATAGATGATGGTAAAAGAAATTCTCTAATAGATTGGTGTCTCAAATTCCCCATACACGTGATCGATTACTCACCACAAACAAGGATCGAAGATTCAATACTGCAGGCCAGGCCAGGTACTTCTTTCTGTCTGAAGTAACAAATATATATATATATATATATATATATATATATATCAACACATCTACGTATACCTCAATTCTATATATGTGTATATATCTACCTAAGTATAAATTTAGTACTTCAAATCGTTTTGCTGTATAATTTGTGATGATAAACTAGCCTTGATCCTCTCTCTGCTCGATATATTTACTACCTACCTACCCAACTACCTATTTATGTATGCAGTCATCATTCCACACATACTTCTCACCACAACAGCAAATTCCCAAAGATGAACCCCAAATCACTTCCTACAACAATCATTGTCGGTAGGATTTTGTAACGTTTCATGAAATGATTGTCAGTATTCGTAATCAACTTTCAGCAGGTTCTTGTACGAAGTAGGTACCTATCACAAATTCTCCAGACCAGTTTCATACCTACATCTATGCCTCAATCCTAAAGCGTGTCATACCAGACATGTTTCCAGGAAAGTTTCCCGAGACGGTTGAATGCGATGTGAGTCCGACATTATGGACAAGCCGTGGTATGGATGGAAAGACGTTTTTAATGTTACATCGCCATCTAAGCCTTCCTATTGGACGAGAATGCGAGCTTGCAGGATGGCGGGCCGAGACCTTGAAAAGCGAAGAGGAATGGTGGGTGAGGATGTGGGATCTGTATATAACGGATAGTGTGATAGTGACCTGCTTAAAGGCCTTCTCTTGCATGGTTTGTGTTTCCCAAGACAAGCATTATCTTGATACCTTTTCCAGGTTCACGAAAATAAATTGTTCCTGATATTCCCTCCATAATTGTCAAGCTTGTCGCTTTGAGATATTGTTCTTTCATACTTTTCAAGTCAAATCCAATGTTGGAGGAGCAATCCTTTCGCAATTTATGTGCCGTTCACATCGAGGGGTGAATTCCAAGTAGTTAAAATAAGAATCAAGTCTAACATAGTACGGGTATTGGGGTCGCAGCGGTCCCGCCCACGAGACCTCCAAAGCGGATCTCCCGAGTGGGAACATATTTCTTTGGAGGCTGACATGGTTCCTCTTCACGGCAAATCCTCCCTTGAAAGATTATCATCGAGACCAAAACCCTCTTTTGAAGTTCGTAGGGGCTGTAAAACAAGGCTGAAGCGAGCCGCAATACTGATCGGATTCGGGAGGAGCTGATGACGTTTACTCGTCGAGAAATCCCATGGCGCCAAAATGACAATTTGCGAGGTGAATCACTATAATAATAGCCTTGTTGTAGTAAAGTAAGCAAGAGGATGGTAGTAATATATTTGCGAGGCACATTGTTCTAGATCGATGACGAACTCAGATTAAACCGAGTATCTGAGCAGAAAGTGATAGTTTCTCTGTTATATAGATCAGATCTGTAGATCAGATCACACATCGAGATAGTGTTGCAGTGAGTCAGTGACCGAAAGAGTTGCTTCAAGATCCGAAGGTTGTAGAGGGTGGTGTGACAGAGCAAAGAAATTAAGAGATCTCGGAAGAGTAAGAAGGTACTAAGATACTTCCATCAAGCCCACCAATTTCGTTTTAATATAATACACCAGCAAAATATGAACCAGTATTCTTCGACAATGCCATCTCCAGGGAGCCTCACAAGAGCCTCAACACGTGCGCAGTGTCGCCGAGTATAACCTACCCCACTTTTAAAATCTCCGTCCCAATACCATGCTGTATCGCCAAAACTGCTAGACAAGAGATGAACTGCCTTTCCCAAATCATCTCACCGTGTTAACAAAACCCTCTAACTTAAAATGTACCCCAGACTGCTTATATTCCGTAATTTGCCCTATGCAGCCACTCTTTGCAAGGTTGATTCTTGCCTGAACTTCGGTGTGTCTAATGATACTAGTGAGATATTGGGAGAGTGAGTAAATGCCCTCTATAGAAATATCAGCCAATTGTCTATTGTACTTTGGTCAGCGGAAGGTAGGTTTAACCCCCCATTGAACCAGGTAAACCTCAATTTTTCCACCAAAGCTCCAGTGACTGGCGTAATGCATGCTAATCTGACTGACACCTTGGTAATGCCCGCATTGCCGATGCTACAAGCCTATTTAGAGCTCGCAAGGCGGATAGAAAGTTAAGTGAGGGTAATCATGCCAAGTGGAAGTTTTGATTTCATTGCCCGCTTTTCTCTCACGGCCGCGAGCAACCTTGCCCAGAATCTAAAGCCGGGCGAATTTGCCTCGAAGAATCGGGGCTACAGATAAATAGGTACATTGTCTATACTGGGACACCGAGGAGGTAGTATCGAGGCCATGCCATCTAATCAATAGCTTGGGTGGCCTTGACTGCGTACCATATATGAATGAATGGAGTGTATGTAAGCATCACTTTGAACTTATATTATATCAAAAGAGATAGTAGGCCCCTTCTTTAGAAACAGCAATTCTCATGAAAACTAATTTAGCGCCTCTCAAGAATGTGAAAATCAGGCGGTACCCGAAATAGGAAAGAAAATCCGAAATTGCAATCCCTCAGCACAGAAATCTATTCTTGCTTAGACACAACCCAAACCCATCCGACAATCCACAGAAAGAAACTGAAGCCTAAGATACGGAGACGATCATCCGATTCAGGTGTGAATCATACCTGATATCTTGTCCAACGCGCAGCGCTATGCAAACAATAAAGACGATTCGATATCCGAATATCGTGACAGATGAGTAACAGAAAAGAAAAGAGTCAAGATATGTAAGCGCTGCCATTCCATAAAAAATCATCCCAACTGGCTCTCCTCCCTTGTATTCCTACCCAACTTCCCAGATGGGGATAGAAGAATGTGTTGACCTGCATTTGGATTAGCTCCACATTCGTTTCAAACCGGGCTCATCAATTAAAGTTGCTACTTACTAGGTTCCAACTCGCATTTTAATCCATTCGGTGGTGCAATACACACATCTTTGATGTCCACATGATGTACAGTGTGTGTTTAGAACGGCCGTCAAAGCTCCGTCACCATTCAAACCGCAGTAGCAGCAATACCAGACCTCATTGTATATGTATTGTGGTTCACCAGTGGGCTGTCCGCAACGTTTACTGCTGTGATTGTGTTTGCCATTGCTCGAATGTTTGTGATGAGAATGGCCGCGACTAGACTCATGGCCAGTCTGTAACAATGGTTGCGTGCGCTTGTGATCGTGATTTGAAGCTGTTACTACCGGCGATTGAGGATTCATTTTGACAGAGGGGATGCAACCGAATGGTCAAGCGGACAAGTATTCAGAAATTGGAAACAAGTTATAGATGGCTTACACAAAAATGAAGACGATTTGAGGACTTAAAGAGTGGTAATTGCTTTTCGATGGGAGGGGTTTTGAAGATTCTTTAAACGTTCAAAGGTATTTGACGGCATCTTGAAATTGGTTGCCCTCTACAGTAATTTGACAACACAGACGCCGCCCTTCGCAGCCCGGAACAAGGCCCTCTTGCCCCATACCGTGAGCGATATTTTCCAGAACGTTTCCTCGTATGATAGACCACAGCTGAAATCCTCTGGGTTCACCGGAAAGATTGATTGATGCCCCATCCCGCCCTTCGAAAATAGTGGAATTTCGGGGTGGCTGTGATAGCTTCAGAGTAAAGAAAGAGCTATCTTCTTCCAAGAAATTATCTCATCGGGCATACACCACTCGAAAATATGATGAACCAGAATGAAATCCTATAATTGGCCAGGCTCCGAGATGGGGGATGTATTTGCTTAGAACCCCTCTCGTTTCGGTCTGGTAATCATGAGGGGAAAAGTCCTTGGACGAGGTTAATTAGATCAATGCCATCATGATGGATACGTTTATTTTTGCATCACAAGAATATAGACACAAGAATAGAAAAAGAAGACGTGGCTGTATTAGGAAATAGGCAGAATCAGAGTGTCTGAAAGGCGGGCTTGCAAATTAGATGCGATCTTTGATTACTTGAAAGCAACTCAATATTGAAATCTAATCTATAATCTCCAATAATTTGAATGTTCTTATTGAAGCCAGAATTGAAATCCTTTTGTTGCCGGTCTGCAATCTTGACCGTTGAAAATTCCAAGCTGAACCATGTACCAAGATAAAGGATGTGAATACGATTTACACAACAAGAGACGGTTTGTATTTGTCTGTGTGAGAGCTTGCCACTATCATATTTCACGTCTTAAAATTGATATAAAAAGCATGTGCTTACAGAAAGAACCTATGAAGCAAAAAGTTCAAATTCTGTCTTAGTCTATGATATGAAATCTTCTCCAAGTGAAAGTCTATGATGCATGAAAAGCGCAGGCTTTGAATCTAAAACTCCATCCAAATGCAAACGTTTTTGAAATTCAGTGACATATGAGAAAATGCAACCAATGATTTGAACACCAAAATTGTTCAGCGTAGCAACCCTCCTTATGAATCTGCCTCATCTCTCCTCAATACGTTTTTTCCCGATACCGATAATCCAATCCCAAGTATGCTTCGCATGCAGTCTATGATGAAACACGAAATGACCGAGGTACCACTTTGTCAACTAGGCGATACGTTAGAATGAAAATATGCCCAATGTTTATGTACCAACGTACTCAGCCGTGGTGGTGAGACCTGATTTTGACCCATTCCGCATGACATTCTTTGCACCGCAAGTGTGCACAATTTGGGCAGTTTATGATTTCTGTGGTCATTCCAGAGGACGTGTAGTTACCACTATAATCACGGCACCAACAGCAAGACCAAACATACACACCGGCTTTTGGAGCTGGTACAGCAGGCATGTTGAAGACAAAAGTTTGGTTGGTTCGAGGAAGAAGGGAGGCGAGAATAAAACAATCTGAAAATACAGATGAGGAGAGGGTTGCTTTATCTTCAACTGCGAGATATGGTTACTCAAGCGACAGAGGTGAAGAATCAATTTATGGTAAAAAGCAATACTCTGGACGCTTTCGGACGTGGTGCTCGTATAAAAGATGATATTGAATGGAAAAAATCAAGGAAAGGCAAAACAAAAGGAGATCAAAGCATTCATTTAAATAGAAGGTCTTCGCCCGAAGAAGATTTCACCGAAGTATTCTTCGGTGTCCTGAATTGTTGAAGTCGTGCCCAAAACATTATGGCTTAGCATTGGACCCCAGCTTCTAAATCACAGAAGACTACTATCTCCATGATCTGCGGTAAGCTACAAAGAGATGGCCCATTTCTTGAGAAGTCACTCATACACCCATGGACAATCGAGCGAACCCATCACACAAGCAAGCTGCCTCGGTAGGAATGAGTCTTGCTTGGGGTACCGCAGCGAGATCCAATCCGACCAGAGGAGAGCTTCTAGCTCAATGATGCCCTCGGTGAGTCTTAACCCCTTAGTGCAGTTACCTAGATTCGTCGGAGACTGTAATACGCTTCATTCCCTATCAACGACCCAGTTGAACAAGGCAGGAATAGAAATTAGTTAGTAGCGGCTACCTCCGACGATGACTTCCACTTGACTTCCATAAAATTAAGTAAAATGACTCTACAAAGGAGATAATAGTATGATTAGTCAACAAGGCTGGATGATGTTCCTGCATTAGCATCAAATCAGCCCCGTGAGAGCCCTGTTTAGGCATGCGGCTCAAAAAAGTGGGTCGGTTGGCGCAGCGCTCAATGCCTAGAGACTTTTCCCTAGGCAGTATAATTGAGAGTTCGGTGAATGATACTGTACGGTTTGAAATGTTGAAGAATCGAGTCCGAGCCCGTTCCAAAAAGCCGGGAACCAGGCAGTGGGTGATCAAATTTCTGTAACTGAGAAACTAAAGGAACCACAAGGGATCAAGAAGAGCTGTTGTTGTAGACAGATGGGGCGGTGGCTGTTGACGTTTAGCGGCCAAAACATCGGTAGAGAGAAGCTCAAGTAATTGTTGGTTGAGATATAAGCTTTCCTATCATATTGAATCAACGATCCATGTTACGTCGGGCTGTATTTAGAGCAGCCGTCTACACAGAGCTTCTATGAATGATTTGCATCCAGAAATAAAGTTCTCTGGGGTCGCTGAGATTGCTGGATTTCGATATCAAAGAATCGAGAGTGTAGAATCTGTTGTAACATTATTGTGGCCCTTGGGATCTTTAGTGTGGAGGATGAACAAGGTCTTAAGTCAAGTGAAGCTGAGTTCAATGAACCCTCCAAGTACACAGGGCACCGCGACAAGACTCGAGTCATTGTACGAATAGACAATATAGTTTCGTCTCCTTCCGCCACACTCCAATGAAATTCCAACCTCCTAGTTTATAACACGCTTCATTAAGTGCCATTATCGATGCTTCTTTTATGGGCTTGATAAGTTCTTGGTAACCATTATGCCAGAAAGCTTGTAGTGGCATCCATAGCATCAAAATGTGTTCTGTGGGACGATGTCTAACCTGGGGTATAGTATAGCCGCCCAGAGCATCAGTGGAACAACCGAGTCCAGATCTGTTGGACTGAACAACGTTCTGTTTGCTATCAGACCACGAAAGAAGGTAGATTCGGTATCGTCGAGTGGCCTGTGGACAGTTAGTGAGGGCAAAGAATTCTTAGGGTAGAGTAGGTAGTTAGGTTCAAATGATTGTTTGTACTTCATAGGAAAGACCATTACTTCAAAATACCACAGCTTCTAGTGAGATTTAGAAGTTTCGAGATCTTGTGCTAGAAACAAAACTCCATTATATTCATGCATTTATGAAATAAAAACCTGGGGAGTCTCGCTGTCTAGTATAGACGATTAAATTCGGTTAAGAAATGAATTTACGTACTTCAGCTAAAACACAAACTGGTGATGGAGGTCAAAGGAGCCGCAATTGACTCATCACATCCTCTGATCGAATTGCCTACCGTACTTTCATTCGAGGCATCTTCTTATTTCAAGAGCTTCGGACCTTCTCGTTACAATTGTATAATTGCATGGCTATAGAGGGGGGAGGGGGGGGTTCGCTAGTGGTTTGCGCAGCCTTGTCAGCAAAGAGACATGTTGCCGCTCCCTTCTAGGATGGGAGACCCATGTTAATGTGACCTTCGTTGTTTAAAAGAGTCAAGGTGTTGGATTTAAAAGGGTGTGAAGGAGGGTCATCTGGGCAAGACTAAGACCAGCCTTCCTACGTCGTGAGAGATTGTTAAACAATAAGTAAAAGAGTTGGTTTGGAAGCCAGAGTATGCCCAGATACGATATCGGAATGCATGGAAGGGTAAACACCCAACACCTGTATAACTTTTCCTTCGCCCAAGGCGTTCGATTCCATCAGAGGTACGATCTTTGCCGCCAACATGGAGTGATATCTGTTTGTTTTCGGCTTAGTTTTGGCCGCTGTAGTCAGGCGATAATTGTTCTACCAAGGGTAGAGTAGGATGAATCAATATAGTTTCACTCGCCGAGCAGGAAAACCTGGAGGTGCTCTATGATCTCCCGAGCAACTGTGTGAACGGGAGAGATTGAAGGGACGTCTAGGATTTAGAGATTAAATGTGATACCTAAGACCCAGGTTCACTCTTTGACCCGTATATCGTCGATCAAAGTAGGATCTATCTACGTATCGATAGCTTAATATGTCGCAACGATCAAGTCACTTCTGAAGGGTTGAACAGGTATAAGAGATCGATTGAATTAATGGACTTTGTGTAGAGATAAGAAAAGATATACAAAAGATATCTATAAACGCGAAGGATCGATGTTGGCGTGAATGAAATAATTCACGTGTCGTCTGTCGGGTTCAAATTAAGCTTACCGGTAGTGGATACCTAGGTACCTAGTAATTAAAGTGTACTGTCGTGCTGTGGATCAATCGTTCATTCTAATCTTAGACCACAAACGCCAATCTCTCGAGTCTCAGTGCTTGAAAACAGAAACCTTAATTCGAAGAATCATTTTGTAAATCGACACTCGTAAACACGTTACATACAATACAGGCTTCAATTTCACCACCTCTTTTCATTATTCCATACCTTACCGTGAAAGAGATGTTTGCACATACTTATTCGACATCAGGAGTTACAACACCTTCAACAGTATACATACTTAAGTACCTGTTGTAATGAATCGTTATTGCAGGTTCGGACATTACTCTCACTGTTAGCACTCGTGCCAACGACTATTTTATCATGTCGCACAACGATATTGAACGCAATAAACGCGTTGCGAACATATGGACTGCGCGTTTTATGCCCTTCGCACTTGCGGGTGTGGTTGGCTATGTAACATATGTCATAGTGGCCATTCTTTGTGGTAGGAGGGAGAATGACATGAGCATCTCAATATGACCTGCTAACGTCTTGCTTTTCAGTAAATTACCTTTCAATCGAACAGAAAAGTAAGGGCGCCGCAGTGCCCATCCTTATAATATATTTTCTGTTGTTCGTCCTCATGGCCTCGTCTTTTTTCCGAGTTGTGTATATGACGACCTTCGATCCTCCTTATGCGCCACTTGGAGCTGGAGCTGCTGCGATTCAGCGTAGAAACAAACGAACAAACGATGATATTGGCGGGGGAGAATACACTTCAGGGGATTTTGATGGATCCAAGAATGATCCAGACTCTCCTGGACTCGAATTATTTTACACAAAAGACGTCTTCGGTGTGGAAAAGGATGGCAAGCCTAAATGGTGTTCCGAGTGTTGCATATGGAAACTGGATCGCCAGCACCACTGTAGTGTTGTAGGAAGATGTATATACAAGATGGATCATTATTGCCCATGGTATGTCCACTGTAACTCCTTTCTTGTTTTGTGGCTAACAAAGTGCAGGGTAGGAGGGCCTATCGGCGAGAACAACTTCAAGTTTTTTATTCAATTTGTTGGGTACACCTCCTTATTTTGTACACATGTCCTTGTAGTTATGGCAGTATACGTTCATCGACAGCGGAGCACCCAGGTATGATTGACCCATGGACTTTCATTTTCCCAATCTTTCAAATGCAATTCAAGATTTGCACTTGATCGAAACAGAGGGCTCGAGAGCAAAATATTGTTGACATGCACTAATTTTACCAACCAGGGAGTGTCTGTAAACCGCCAGTTCATTGCCGTTCTTGCACTGTAAGTTAGTGATCCTCGTGATGCGCTTCATTACTGACCAACAACTCAGAGCTGCATTTTTTGGCCTGTTCACTGGGACGATGTTCCTGACATCCGTGAGACTCGCAATCAATAATTTGACACAAGTCGAAGACATTTCTAGGTTTGGAAAGATCCATCGACTAGCAATACTAAAGCCATCCCCACAGAGGTTGGCGGAAATAAGTGTAACAGCCGCTTCGACGCAAACTTATTCCGAGATAACGTATCCGCTAGACATTCCGGCACCTTTGGACGGCATCCGGGTAAATCGCCCGTATGTGAAAACTATCAGGCACGATCGCTTGTCCGAGCCAATTTCAGTCAATGACGCAAGGCGAATGGCTGGTGTCACAGGATTGCCTGCCAATGCAACAATCGAGCAAGCTAACGGGAGCGTCCAACCTGGAAATCTGCTCTCGGAATCAACAGAAGCCGGCATCGCTGATGATTCGTCAACCGCTCTCTCGTCGTCTGAAAATATTGAAGCACCAGCAATTGGTAGGCTCCAGAAACCGACAGAAAATACTGAGCGGTTGGATAGAGACCAAAGGGCTGTGCGTACCTTTGCAATACTCGAAACACTAACCCCCGGCGACAATCCCTGGGATCTTGGATCCGCTCTTTTAAATTGGGAGACTGTCATGGGAGAACATTTCTTTGACTGGTTTCTGCCCATGAAGAGAAGCCCTTGTTGCAACCACGAGAATACAGAGAGTCACTTCTCGATTGGCCCATCTGTAGATCGCATTCGAGCCTCAGTTTGCTTCATTCCACCTAATGAGGTACGTCCTGAAGGACATCGTCAACGGATCAGGCCAAATCGCCACAAGAAAGACAAAGCGAGTAAATCGGGGCGACATTTTAGCCCAAATGATGAAGAAATGGGTCGAAAAACGGATGAGACAGAACTGCGAGATCTCCGCGCTCGTAACTCACGCCATAGATGATATGTGTTCACTACCTTTTAAATAAATTCACAAACTAATGGAAGTCGTTCTGGCTTGGAGCGGAGTTTGCTACAAAAACGAGCACTCACATCATATGAAATTGGCGTCAGGAGTATCACGATGCCAGTATATAGAAGCACTAAATGTAATAATTAATCTAATTCGACTTTAGAAAGGCATTGGAATAGAAAGTAATACCTTTAAGCTCCCCGAGCATTCTCCTTATTAGTATTCACAGTTCATTGTGTTCGAAATCCTGATTATTCGTCGAATGCGAAGCTCAAAAGGATCATATTGTTTTCGGGATGCCTGCTCTTGTTGTCTCCTTAATTTATGCGAGGGTATTAAACCAGGTGCAGTATACCTTGTTCCATACCTAAATCCGGCTTCTAAGCATACTAACACTGCCGGAGCTAAGATATTCCCATATGTGTCCATCACAGGTTCTAAAATTGAACCAACCTTTGAGCAACTTGCACCCATTTTCGAGGAACTCACTTGAAATTCGAGATGATTCGGAAGGCAAGACAGAATATTCCACGTGATGCAACCGAAACTAGGAAGAATAGTCGCGTGAGTGACGAGGGAAGAGACTCGCTAAAGGTACAGGCCATCCGATACATCATCTTGAGATATATTGTACGGGATATGAAGTATTGTAATGTGAGTTCAGTTGTTAAGGTTCGCTTTCGGAAGAGGAGTTTCCATGCTGTTGTGGCAGTCAACAGATTGATACTCAAACAAGATAATACTCATGAAATCACTAACCGAAAGTCTCGGGTATATGGTACGGCATAAGGAAGGAAATAAATCATAACTCTAATAGCCATAATCCACGGAGCCAACCAATCTCGCGAACTCCATAATCAATCCCGACAACTTTTTCGCACCAAATGAAGAAATGAGCACCTTATCATTCAAAGTCAAAACCAACAACCTATTCTCCCTGTCCAACAAAAACGATCTCAAATTTTGACACATGCATGACCCTTTTATCACTCTGAAACACCGCTCGGTAGCTAATCTCCCCCTTCCTCCAACTCTTCACCACAGTATTCTCACCACTCTCATATCCCATACGAGCTTCTTGATCTCGTATTCGATGGCAGTCGGTGTCTAATACCAAGCCTGCTGCTAAGGAACGGAACAATAGGTGCAGTAGGGATGCGAGCAATCGGGACAGTACCAGTCCCATATCTCGGAATCGACTTCTCGATAGCATGCGCAGCATACCCACCATCCCTCCAGGCTCGGGTTGTTTGTTGCAGTATATGTAGACATTGTCGATCTGAATCATCAGTATGCATTTCAATGATCAAGAGGGCTTTTAAGACTCGAATACCTTGAGCTTTGATTCCTTTTCTATTGAGAAGTTTCGATTTTCTTGGTGAAACAGCAAGCAGTGGGTTTGGATGGAAGATGCCGATGAATTTCGGGAATGCTGCGTCTTGTTTCTGTTTTGAATGCTGAGATGATCTTGCTGCGGATTCAAATTGTCTTGACGGACCAACACTGTTAAATACTTCGAAAAATTGACGTTCCGCAGACTAAATCAGAGTTGTTCACCTTTCCGACGCCCCCATGACTGATGTTCCAATATCGCATCTAAACGATGGGCGCCGTGCCCCTCGAAGTCTCCACCGTCCATGGTGACTAGCAGTGGAGTTTCTCCCGGATCATCGTTAGGAGGTGGCGCAGCTGGTATCGATGGAGAGGTTATTTCGGTCGTAAGTTGCAATGGTACAATGGAAGTCTGTAAGTTTGTTGTCGAGAAAGATATTTTCGTGTAACGTCACTCTTTCTAGAATCCTTTAGGAACCGGTCCATTGGAACAAGGCACATCTCGCCAGGTCGTTTGTCACCGAAGATCTGCTTATAAGCCCCTTGGACGTAGACGAGAACATTTTGGAAGCTACGTGGAAGCTCGCCAATAGATCCGCCGGTGACAGACGGGCACTCGCGATTACGCGATGAATGAGAAAGTTAGGATGACTCTAGTATAGGGCGCGTGGAGATATGGACCAGGTAAATGGTTATGTGAGTACCAAGGTCTAGTCATTGCGGGCATACATCCTAAGTGGCCTGCCCTCGAATCCACGGCATCCTGGAATTCTTGAGCGCGCTTCAATGATCGGTCACAATACGAGCTTTAGCAAGGTAGCTGTTCGACCAGCCTCCCTGGCACAGTCAATTGTATTCCAACTCCTACTATTATGGTCAACGAGAATAGCTTGAAGGGAAGTTAAAATCACTACCGCGCATCTTGGGAGAGGTGACGTATCTCTATTTCTTGAAGTGTGCATCTTCCCAACTCCTACAAGAGAATACTGAATCCTTCGACCTATTTTTGTGGCCGGACATTCTGGTAAGGCTGGCAAAGAACCAGGGGTTGTGTGTAGTGATGCATACGCCTTTTCTTAGCCCCAGCACTCTTAAGTGCGGTGCTCAAGCTCATGATGACTTTCTTATTCCGAATTTGAACTTCTGGGGCTATATCTCACCGCAAGAGGAGGAACGTGAGAAGATATCAGAGTAGTAACTGGGTGATTTTTGCTAGCAAAGAGTCAAAACTAATTTCACGTTTTAGCAAAACATTAAAAATATCGTGTTTGGGGAAAAGATCTAAATGATGTTCACAGCCTCGTTTCATTCGCATACATGAGAACCGAGTCCCGACTGAGCAAAAAGGGTTTTGCATCTCCGACCTGTTAGTCTGTTGTGTGACACCATGCCAGTCACTTGGGATTCGACAGAAGATCTATAATTTGACTGCAGAATCAAGCCGTACGAAGTAACATTGCTTTGCCTTTGCCGCATCATCCTCAAGGAGCCGCTCCTTGAGCCGCAAAAACTTTGATAGATGAGTAACATGAGATATGCAACTAGTGCTGGCTAAAACTAATATAAGCATGACAACTGTAGCTAGCATTCAGGGTTACTTGCTCTCGAGTAATCTTAGCTCATGTCACACCAGTCAGATCAACATTTGACTCAAGACTGAAGATAAAGCCAGCGGCCAGAAAAGCAAACCCATACGAAATTGCTAGAATGATAGGATAGGCATCCCTGCAAAGAATTATTATGTTTATCATACCTTCTTTTGATTCTGAGTGAAAGACCGTAACAGTGTTTCTCAAGTTGACTACTTTTCCAGCTTAACATCTTGTAGCAGTTCTTTCATTGTCACATCTCAATACAAAAAGAGCCTCATGTGCAAGGGATGAAGTTCTCACATGCGTGAGGGGACCGCACGAATGGCCATCTTTACAAGCAGTCTAGTCCCGAAAAAGATGCAATGATCCTAAGTACACCTATCACAGATCCGAAATTTGGTTTATGCCCTCTCAATTGGAAATGCTGAGATCAGATTTCCTCTGCCGGCTAATCAAGTTTTCTTCTCATCCCTAGCTCTTTTCCCATAATATTCTTCCCTTTAGAGAATCATGTCAACATTACAATTATTTCAAGAGATATCTTGTCTGGTCTTACATCTTGTTTCCATTCGGCTTCCCTTCTAATCTATCAAGAGCATCTTCGATAAGTCCAATATGTCCTCTCAAGGTACCCTCCAACTCATCCTGCAGAAGATGTGTTAACACAGTGAAGTTCGCTCAATTCGAAGCGCAAAAATCTGAGCAAGAAACATGTTTGGGTGGAAGAGGACGCATAAGAATTTCAAACAGGCCAGTATCTTCATGGGTCTACCCAACGTCTGATCTTTTGGAGGCCAATCATTTCCTAATTGTAAACCCCGCTTGAAAACGGCTATCAATTTGAGATTAACAGCATGGCCGTTGATGTACGAGGCCGGAATAAGGTGCAAGTATAGACAGTCAAGGAATGTACAACTGCATGGTTACAGTGAAAAACATGAATCTTATTTGTAGACGGGTGCTAGACCGATAGTTGACCTGATAAACGGAGATTGTGCCAACTACAGACAATCCCCTGTACCGGGTGATGGGTATCCTCCTGTGATACTGGCATCTGAGCAACTAACCTTCCCTGGACGCAATGATAACAATGACAACCCAAAAGGCATGAATCTCCCACGTACCATTCTTGCTTCATGGTCCTCCGAGAGCTCCACCATATGCGATCTTAAGTTGTAGGTGCTTCCCACAACACCTACCAAAGTAGTGAGATTTAGAGCAAAGAGAGCTGCGGGGTTTCGTAGAAACGACATGATTAATTCGAATTATCGAATACAGTTGAAAGTCGAATGAAATGAATCAAAGTAAATAAGTGAGAAAAAATAGGGAGATATAAATACAAAATGTACAATAAAGAATATATATCATGTACGTGAGTTCGGGAGGTACAATATAATAGCTACTAGGTAGGTACCCTCGTACCTAGTACTCTACCCCACTACAGAGTCATGACATCAGCACGGAATAGTTTCAAGGCGCGGTACATCGCGCAATCACGTCTCCCATTACAAAGAAAATGGAAAATACACTTTAACGCGTCCACGCCATCCATCAATCTCTTCGATCCACGGTTGAGCTGGATGCTGGATTGCTTTACCAATAAGTTTTTGTATCCAAAGGTAAGACTCAATGTCATTTCACTATCCTAGTGGCAGATGTATGAGAGTATCATTATCATCTTTGACCACAGATAGAATTTCCTTCGAAATTCGTAACATCTTAACAAGCACCCTTCATTCTATTCTGATGTTCAAATCCAAATCGAATATTCAAGAAAAAAAGAACACTGCGCAATTGCTTTATGATATCGAGTCTAATTCTCAGGCTCAGAATATCTTTTCCTTACTTCTATTATCGCATGTACATAGCATGGCCACGGAATAGCGAACCTACTACGCCAAAATCATATTTCTCGAGCGAAAATCCAAAGTCATGTCTTCTCCGCAACCTTTTATGCAATCGTCCCCTCTGCTAGCCTCACCGTCGCGTCGCAAAAAGAGTCAATTTACGTATAGGAATCTCGCACAGTTGGCTCTTTCTGCTACGTCATGCCCTCTGAGGGTGATCGCACATCTAGACCTTGACGCATTTTATGCGCAGGTTGAGATGGTAAGATTAGGAACTGAGGAGGACAAACCATTAGCTGTACAACAGTGGTGAGGATTCTTTACTCAATGAATGGTCGACTATCATGCTTTTCGAGGATCTGCTGAAGCTAATACGTGGGTTGAACATAGGCAAGGTCTCATAGCTATCAATTATCCAGCCAGGGCATTTGGTCTCAACCGTCATATAACTATTACGGAAGCAAAGAAGCTTTGTCCAGATCTCATATGTCAACATGTTGCGACTTGGCGCGAAGGCGATGAAAAATGGGCCTATCACGACGATGCCTTTAAGAATATTGCTACACATAAAGTCTCTCTCGATCCTTACAGACTCGAATCAAAACGGATATTGGCTTGTATAAAAGATTGTCTACCCAAAGAGTTGCAGAGAGTAGAGAAAGCTAGTGTAGATGAGGTTTTCATGGATCTATCTGCCCAAGTCCATACGACGCTTTTGGAGAGATATCCTGAGTTGAGAGGTCCTGCTCCCTACGATGATTTGACGGAACAACTGCCGCTACCCCCCACGACTTTTCTCGACTGGAAAGCGGATGCACTCGTGGATCTAGATAAGGATGAAGCGGAAACTGATGACCCAGATTGGGATGATATGGCAATGCTGATTGGTTCTGAAATCGTACGCACAGTTCGGGCCGCAATACGTGAGAAACTCAAATACACTTGTTCGGCCGGCATTGCCCAAAACAAAATGCTTTCTAAATTGGGTTCCGCGCATAAGAAGCCAAATCAACAAACTGTTATCCGAAATCGGGCAATTCAGCAATTCTTATCAGGCTTCAAGTTTACTAAGATTAGAAATTTGGGAGGCAAGACAGGTGAGGAAGTGGTCAAGCTATTTAATACAGATATGGTCAACGATCTGTTGCTTGTTCCCATGGAGCAATTAAAACAAAAATTAGGAGACGATACCGGGACGTGGATCTACAACGTCATTCGTGGAATTGATGTCAGTGATGTCAATTCACGAACTCAGATAAAGTCGATGTTATCTGCAAAATCGTTTCGACCTAGTATCAACACTCCCGAACAGGCTAACAGGTGGCTCCGCATTTTTGCGGCGGATATACAATCCCGATTAGTGGAGGAGGGGGTTCTAGAGAACAAGAGAAGGCCCAAGACGATCAATTTGCACCACAGGCATGGAGCCCAAAACAAATCTCGACAAGCGCCCATTCCGCAAGGAAAGCAGATGGATGAGATACTCCTTTTTGAACTTGCCAAGACACTTCTAAATCAAATCATGCTTGATGGGAAGGTATGGCCTTGTTCGAATTTGAGTTTAAGTGTCGGCGGTTTTGAGGATGGAGTGCCCACTGGTAACATGGGTATCGGGGCGTTTTTGGTCAAAGGCGATGAAGCCAGGACTCTAAACAATCCAGCTCCGCGAGAGCTGAACGTATCTGCAGAGAGACCTGAAAAGAGACGTCGTATACTTGATGCAGGAATCCAGAAATTCTTCGTCAAAACAGATAGCGTCGAAGAGCACGATGATGATTTCGGCGGTGAGCAAAATTTAGCCGGGCCAGGTATTGTATATGAGGAAAAGGGGCATTCGCTTCCCAAAGTGGATTTTAAGGCTGCACGTTTACCGCAAGAGAATGAGGCGGCCAGAAGGCCAGAAACATCAGCCAATGCCTCTGCCCCAAAACAATCACAAATTACAGAATTTCTATGCACCCGTTGCAATCAGGCGCTGGATTGTGCGGAGGCATTTCAGAGTCATCAAGATTGGCATTTCGCTAAAGATCTTCATGATGAGGATCGTTTACGGCGTACATCGTCAGCTCCTGCTCCTTCCTCCGCCAACAAAAGGGGTGTGGCTTCGAAGAAACGAGGCAATGGACGCGGTAGCCGACCAGAAAAGGGTCAAAGCAAGTTGACATTTGGATAATGAAAAACAGATGAAACAACTCTCACCGACCGCGTTTTCACCCTATCCTGAAGTGCCACACGATACCTTTAACTTATAGGTGAATGCGCCGAGATTTTACCACTCATGCTGATGGGCAGAGCCCTATGGTTCCAGAAGACGGCCAATTCATGCTCGAACTTTGCTCCGATATACTGTGCAACTGGAACAATGTGCTCACCGGGATCGCACATTCTGTATGCAACGTGATGTCCGGATGTACAAACACATTTCTGCGGCATGAGTTCCATTGGATAACGAATTTGTAGAATATGATCTTTTCGAAGCTACGAGTAATGCAACAACGACCATTACTGCGATAGCATTCCTTCTAGAGGTTCAGCTAGAGCCGGCCACCCGGCCATATTATGGCCTTACAAATGATAAGCAGGTTTGCCATGGATCCAGGCTGTCAGATTTAACAAGCAACACTCGTACTTGGATCTTCAGGACGGTCATGCGCAATATTGAAGGCATCAAGAACAATAGATAATGTCTCACCCACACAAAGCACCCATTATTTGGATGGGATGAAAGACATGCCGTTAGCCCTACCAACTTTGAGTCGTTCGTCTCTCGTCAGATATCCTGATCGGCAGAGTACATCATCACCTCCTGTACATATACAGTAAGACGCAAAGAGATCCAGAGCCTCGTGGGTGTGAGAAGAAGTAAAAGAGCAGAAATTATCGGATTATCGGTAGGCCTATGGTGACTCTAGACAATCTACAAACGCCAGTCGCATGGATTTGTTGTCAATGTGCCTTAAATTAATCCATGTCCAAAAGTATCATGATGGCTTCTCGAAAGACAAATGAAAATTAACTTTGAACGAGTGTGAACCTGTGAAATTGAAGTTTATATGGGTTAGGCAGCATTTTGCTTGCGTTAGGCCGGGATGCATCAATACCCAACCCGATTGAATTCGCGCCACAAAAGAATCACAGACCACCCCAACTACCAAGATCACAAACCTTGCCAGCAAAACTGCAGGAATCGCTGGCTGCCCTTTGCTTTTTTGGATCTCATTCACTCTCACCATCACCATCACGATCACCAGTTCCTGTTCCAGTTCCTGTTCGTTCTTCACAGAACATTCAAGCCTTGATTGTTTCTGTTGTGCAATTCGAGGTTCGGGATTGGGGGTCGAATCTCACAGCTTCCATTGGTTCCTCGGTCCAGTAGATTGAGATATTAATGTGATGTGACAGGTAGAATCCTGTGCACAACATGTGTGGGTAGTAAGTATAGCACCGGGCATCGCATCGCATAGCATGTTCATGTAAGGTCAAGGTAGGCAAGAAGCTTTCGAGACAGATTGGACCAAACATTTTGATTGCAATAAACGAAGAATTGGTCAAAGGGAACCTCGGCGTCGCTCATTACAGGATGGATATTCTCCTCTGATGTATTCACGCGTCATCTTCGATCACTTTACACACTCATTGTGCCATCCATCTAATTCCCTACTCTCCCGCTGTAGTAGCAAGGAAAGGAGTTCCACTTTCTGGCAAAGTCGGCGAGTCTATATTCCCCAGAACCCAGAATTTACGTTGGGTCGTTGGTCGTAGGACCGAATCATCATGGAACGGTACTGTGATGGACTGGATTTGAATCCCTGACTGGATCCAATAGTTCAGGCTTGAGAAGATGGGAGATTATGATGGGTTGATGAATTGATGAGCTGATGATAGGGCGAGATATCGATTTGTTCGCTGAAAGTTTTCTAATAAGTATACCCAAAGATACCCTTAATATAAAGAAGGTTTTGGTTAGAGTTTTTTTAATGATTCATGTCAACATTTTTGACTATACTCCTGACATGAAGATATAAAATTTTGAACAAACGATACGGGAATTTGATTTTTGATTGGTTTACTATCAAGTACCTTGAGACTTCTTCCGACGCCTAGCTATAACGAGGCATATTTATCTTTCTCTCTATCTCTATCTCTATCTCCATACATAGCTAGGTACTTAAACCTATCTAGCTGTATACTTCCCTTAAGTTGCCACCGCCGTTGTTGCTGCTGCCCCTCTTTGAAACCCCATCGGTGCCATCACTATCTTCCGCCTTACCATATCCAACCTTACGCCACACTTGTCGACCCATTCCATCCAGATTCCAGTCATCCTTCCTTTATATACTCCCGTACGAAAGTACCTCGGAGGATTAAGAAAACAGGGCTGGCTCGCTCACTCTGCCCACATTTGGTTTTGCATTGCACTTGTTATTCGTCATATCCCGACCATAGTACTTAACTATAAGAACAAGAATTTGGTATTGTGACTGCATTCCATAGCAATCAGTATTAATTACCTGGGATAATCTAAGAAGAAGAAAAGAGAGAGACCCTTCCTGCTCTTCCTCTTCCTCAACAAAAAGAAAGCTCTATTATTTTCTTGAATATTAAATCAGATCAAATCAAATCGAATCAAATCAAGTCAAGTCAAGTCAAGCCAAATCAAATCAATTCAAATCAAATCAAATCAAATCAAATCAAATCAAATCAAAAGCATTAAAAAATCGATTGAAAAAGATCTTCCTTTCCAAACAGAATAATAAGCATAATCCCGTCACAAATCTTTCAATCTTCCACGCATTCTTATTTATACCGCTGGGTGTTGTCGTCCAATTATTCAATCCTTATTCTCTTGACTGGTTGGGCTGTACGCGGTATTTAAAAGCGGCCAGTTTAAAACCATTCTAACTGCACCTTTCCTAAACGGACATTCAGCTACAGTTCCAGTCGGCAGGGGGGGTTAAAAAAGACACACATTCGACACATTCGACACACCACCCGAGCACCCCTCGCAATCCTCGCAATCCTCGCAATCCCAGCCTTCCCTCTCGCTTTTGCCACTTTTCTCCCACTCTTCCTCTCTCACCGTCTTATCTAAAATTCAATTCTTCTTTTGAATGAGTCTTCAAAGACAAGAGTCAAAACTACCATCGAAAAGAACAAGAACACAAGGGGAACAAACAAATCGCCAGCTCAGAGAAAACATCCCAGTCATTATTCGTCTAAAAGGTTAAATTGTTTAGTTGCCTCTTCCTGGAGTACGACTTCATATTACACGACATTATTATACCAGCTTCCGCGTCTTCTGCGTTACTACTCTCTGGGGTTGGATAGGACCTTTTCAAATCTTACTCTCTCTTCTCATACGCTTCCCAAACTTCAAAGTTACTCAGGACCAACCGATCCTTTCTCTTACTTCCACAGGATTACTTCTTCTCGAGGCTCCCGTTCATACCCCCTCCCCCGGATATTGAGAAAGTTTTCCACTTCTCCAAACAGGATTTTCTTCTAGGCCGTTTTCTGACTATCCAATTTGTCACCGGTTATTTTGTGTGCTACCACATTTATTCCCTAGGCTGACTTGTGTGTGATTTGCATTCCAAAATCCTCACTTCTGGTCCTTCTCTTTCTCTTCCTACCAACTTTTTCCTGGATCATCATCATCATGTCGCGACGTGACGATAGAGATAGCAGAGCTTCGCGCTCGCAACCGCAGCCACCACACTCATCTGTTGGCAGGACAGGCCAGTTTGTTATTGACGCTGAAGGTATCGACAGAGAAGTTATCACGGCCGATATCTGCCGGTATCTTGGTAACGATGCTCTCGTCAAACCGGGTGACGTGGAAGTAAGTAGTCGCCTCTAAATTTTCAGTCTTGAATCTGCGATGGAAAACTAATGCCTTCACCTACAGGACCCGAGGACGAAACAACTGAAGCCTGTCTACGTGATCACAGCTTACAGGAATCTTACAAATGTAATGTCGCGTTATATCGATTGAGTGATGTCGCTGATGAATCTTGGGTATAGGCAATGATATTTGATTTAAAGCAGGCGTCTGCAGATTGGCGAGCTGAGAGACTTGCTAGATCGAATGCACAATACCCTACAAATGGTATCTCTTTAAGGGATTCGAACGAGATGGTTCGAAAATCTAACACCCCTATAGTAGTTGACTACAGAAGTTCAAATGCACTCGATCAATCTATTGCTCGAATGGATAGAATGGATGCAACACAGCCTCGACCTGCTGCACAACAAGGGATGTATAGTTCACCATCGGCTGCTGTGCCCAGTTCCCAATCATATCAACCAAGTGGCCAGGGTTACTCGGCGGGTTACAGTCAGCCCACAAGTTACCAGAATGATGGCTACACCCAGCCATCATCACAACCATATGCTCCTTCTACCCAAGGATACCCTCATGACTCCAGGACTTATATCCACGGATCCAATTATTCTGTTGCTGAACCACCCGCTGGCCGCGGCGGATCTGTTCCTCAGTCAACTCCTAGGACTCAATATCCACCTAGTACATCCTACCAAGCACCTGCAACGCAGTACTACTCCCAATCTGGACCACCTGCATCAACTCCAGCATATGCCGCCCATGCACCAACAGATCCCTACTATAGTAGTCGTGGTGCGTACGCCCAAGTGCATCCATTTTCTTAATTGTTCTTATTCTCGCAAACGAACGTAATCTAACAATTTAGCTGCTCCATCAGGCAATTATGAATCCACTCCGGAGATATACGATAGCAGAGCGTACCCGGAAAGTTCAGATTACCAGATGCAAGATGCCGGATATACTGAACCAGGCTCGTCATACCAGGAACCTGTATCATACTCTCAGCCAATGCCATCCGGACGAAGTGGCACCGCCACTTCTTCGTCTCAAAGACCGCGTGACCGGGACAGTAGGGATGACCGTGACAGACATCACCAGCGCCGCAGGAATTGATCTTCTCTCTGGGACGTAATTGATTTTTGCGATACTGTTTCCTCGGACTTTTATCATGTCCTGGCGTTTTTTTCATTGCTTTATTCCCTGGATTTACTGGAACACTGGACCAATCAAAGGAAGCTCCTAAATTATGGATCCAGACGAGACAAAGGGTACTTTACGACTTCATCGGAATCTTAATAAAAAGCCAAGAATGCAGTAGGTATTGCATCTTGGATATCGAGGTATGGTCTTTATATTACCAGGATTTTCTATCATACCCATCGCTAGACTACAACCAACTGGACCGAATACGGAATGTATTATCGGAGAATTACCACGGATGTTTTATCATGAACTTTGCATGTGCAGAGCATTTATCCCAGGCTTTATGAGCTTCGAAGGACCAAATGAGGATAATGGATGTGTTTTTGCCTTCTTGCATTTTTCATCTGTCAGTTGCATCAGTTTTTGCACACGCACAGGCCGTTGGGGCGCATCATGAGTTTATGTTTTCTTGAAAGTTTCTGGATTATCTTAGGATACCATCCCTCATACTTGCTGCCTTGGACCCAAATTTCCGGAAGCCTCGCCGGCTGGTATTTCCTCCATACCACGTTTCGTGATTTGGTTAGTATCTTAATACTCGTTAGAGCATTCGGGTCTGGGTTCAGGCAGCATTGTAGAGAAGTTTGTATATACATCGACAGCAGCCATTCAAAGGATAATTTCAACACTTCAAAACAATGCCCATCTACATCATCTCATGGATTCCTTTGTGGTCAAGACCCGACCATGGATTTTCATCACTGACTTTCAAGCATGGCCTCACAGCACAGGTATAGTCAAACCATCCGGTTTTGGGACCTCTTTCTGGATTAGCCTTCTTTTCATTTGGACCGGGATTGCTACCCTTACGGACTACTATCTCTTGGATTTCAGAAGTTCAAACCATTGGACGTGCTATCTCTCGATATTCCCTCCGTTGCGTTCGTTCGATTCAGGTGTGTATCATGGACCAATCGGCTCAATTAAATCTCTTTTCGTCGCCTTGTCCAGATGAATCTCATCGCGTTCCAGGACACCGGAACATCTGACCTTTCCACGGGTTACAGAAGGTTGTTGTGCGCCGCTCTGACACAGTCCCGAGAAATGAGGAGTGTGGCCCAAACAGATACCCAACACCCAAGCAACTACACGAAAGAGACCCGGTAAATCGACCCATTGCAAGCATATCCCTGGTTTGGACTCGACATTTCAACTCAAGATTCATCGCTCCCTCCAAGCGGGCTTGAAGAAAGACACACAAATCATCCAAAGTGGCCACTGAACCCTCCGAGGACTATCTGCACCTTGCGGTATTTTGTCATATCTCGCCCAATCTCAGCACTCTCCATTTTCTTGCGTGGTTTCAAATCCAGGATAGCATACTTGATCATCATTCAGCCCTCATAAAGCATATCCACGCAGGACGTCCAATGCCGTGGTCATTTACTAGCAGCTGTTAGCTATTCTTTCTGAAGACGGATATCCTAACCACGGGGCACAACGGCCGACTTTTACAGAGGGAAACCTTCTAATTTGCCCTCTTCATTGACTGCTGACAGCAATAGGAAATTGCTTGTCAAAATTTGGAACCTTCAGAAAGATTGTTTAGCTTCAAGAGCGTGTCATTTCAATAATTTATGGTGGCAATAGTCTGTTATTTCATTCTTTGAAACTCTGCTCGCATGTTTGCGGGCCTGAGTTGTACGATTAGGATCGGTTTCATTCTACTTTTGTGGAGGGTTTAAGGACTTCATATTCGTTTCCGGTTGGGTTGTGAGGAAACATAATACGCATGGCGGTTCGGTTGGTCAGTCGGTCGGTGGCATGGTGTGGTCTTTGGCACATATAATCATTTCAATCATCTCACAAAACGGCATAGGTGGCATAAATTTAGATGCTATTACGCCATCGCTACTCATGGCTTTTTAATTACTAGTTTTCGTTTCATGTTTTATTTGGATTTCTATTTGCTATAGTGCTGTGATGGTAGACCAATGGACGGTGTGTAATGAGATAAATGACGGTTGAAACTGCAGCTTTCTGCAATGTTTAGGAAAAGAATGAATGAAAGACGTTCTGGAGAACTAGATTCTCCAGCCAATTGTACAAATGTTACTGGTCCCAATCAATTGACATAATGACTATTTGATCTAGGCAACGTAGAACTCGTGAAATGGTGAATTGACAAGCGTATACTATGCCTGATAGCAGCAATAAAGGGGCATGTCGGTGATTTATAGGTAAATGTTTGGGATACTGATAGATCCAAGATGATAGCTATCTCCAACGGCTGGATCGTGAACCTTAACTATTTTGAGAGTATCTACCAAAATCAAGATTTAAATCTAGGAATTATTGATTCTTCAACGTTGTTGAACAAATTCTGGATTTGTTGAAGGCGTATCCTGGTGATGTGAACGGGCTAAAAAGTTGATATCTGGGGTAAGTTATCATACCGAGGCTTACCTAGAATGTCTCAGTGCATTCGTTCATTGACTTCTTGACCTGAGAAGAGCTTATCATCAATCTAAACAATTACATACTCATACATGCATTATCATACTTATAACAATTCGTGATGTTACTACTTTCCTTGTGTTTAATTCCACTGATCTATACTTCTATTCTGGTATCAGGATGGAATAATTATTGGGCTGAAGGTTTCCAGGTGCCATTCCTATCATCAATTCAAGCTCCGTTACGACAATGGACCTCACCACCCAAAGACTCTGGAGGCGATGCAGCCATTAGTCAGAGTCGAACCCTCACTCTGCGAAGCGTGTATCATCGCGGAACCAAAGAATACCCTGAGTTACATCGACGGCTGAGAATCAATCCCGAGAAGACAAAGAAAGCGGCCCTCGAAGTCAGCGATGGCGAATCTGAAGTTGGACCTTTTACCCTTTACACAGCTCCAATAGGCATCCACAGACTTCGAAAGCGAAGTGTACAAGATATAGAAGCTTTCAATCAATGGCCTGCCGATTTACCTGCATCGGCATGGTCTGTCGATGATGTGTCGGCGCCAAATGTGACAGACAAATCTACTGTGGTCAATTTTGCTGTCATGGCAGCAAACACATATCAGCGAACTCCAGATGACCCTCAGTGGGAAGACGTAAAACCTCCCTTCAATCTTTCATCTTCCATTGGATGGGAATCGGATGGTCTGCGGGGCCATGTTTATGCCGACGATACAAATACTACAATCGTTATCGCGCTGAAGGGTACAACTTCAGCTGTATTCGACGGAGCGGAAACAACTACAAATGATAAGGAGAATGATAATCTGTTTGCGGGATGTTGCTGTGGACAAGGCGGATGGGGGCTACGAAAAGTATGTGATTGTATGACGGCAACATACACATGCAATGAAATGTGTGTTTCTAAAGCATTAAAGAAACCGAATCGTTATTATCAAGCTGCCGTGGAACTTTATGGAAACATTACAGAGGAATATCCCAATGCAGATGTTTGGTTGACAGGTCATTCTCTTGGAGGACTTGTCACTACTCTCGTTGCATTAACTTTTGGCCATCCTGTACTGACCTTTGAGTCGGTTCCTCAAGCATTAGCAATCTCTCGATTGGCTCTTCCTACTCCACCAGGATACAATTCGGCCTCTGAAGCTCGTGACAATGTAGGTATCTGGAACTTTGGACACACCGCTGATCCAGTATATATGGGTACGTGTAATGGGGCTACATCACTTTGTGCTTTTGCTGGTTATGCCCTCGAGTCGACGTGTCATGCAGGATTACGATGTGTCTACGATGTTGTTACAGATTTTGGCTGGAGTGTATCTCTATCGACTCATGGAATCAGAGCCTCCATCAGAAATGTATACAAGAAGTATGATGAAGCCCCGACGTGTGTTGCCGAGACCGATTGCGTTGATTGCTTCAATTGGAAACGAGAAAAGGGACCTCACTCTACTTCATCAAGTACTATTGCAAGTACAACATCAAAGCCAAGGACTCGTACCGAAACTTGCAAAACTCCCGGCTGGTGGGGTTGCTTAGATGAAGGTAGTGCGAGTACAACGTTTACGTCAACGACAACGATAACCTCGACATCTTGTAAGAGTTATGGATGGTTCGGACGATGTATAGACCCAACTGCTACTACGTTCACCTCTAAAACCACTGTTATCGAGGCTTCGGCAACTGTCCAAGAGGTCACTGCTACTGTTACGAGTAGCGAGGATCTCGCTAGAGGGTCCAAGACTCAACCAGTCCAAACACACCAAATTACTACCTCTCCAAAAGCTCCGACTTGAGAAGATCAAGCATAATACACGGTGACATGAACTTGTGATTGGATAATGGATTGTATTATAACATTGTCTTATTATGATTAGAGAATACACGATCTCCGCGCTGACATTTCGATTGATGTTTATCAAGAAATGAAGTCTGAGCAAGCAACATAGCGAATTCTAGGCTTTGATTTGGAGATAGTCTCTAACGCACCGGTACTGGGTATCTAAGCATGCTACCACCTCACCAACCTCAACCATTATTACCAAGCTCCTCGTGCAAGCATCACGGCTCATTACTAACCAAACGGTGGCCCGTTCTAGGTTTCATTCGGAAGTCTTTTGGAAAAATACTGGTTCATGGGTTCATTTTGTCCATTCAATCTCTAATTTGTTGAAGGACAGAAGATAGAAGCGACTGAATAACTCTTACAGGAGCATATATTCAAGCACATGTATAGAAGGATACTATTACAGTTGTAACACTATTTAGGTAGAATGAAACATATCACTCATAATACTATTGTGTGCTGTGCATACAATACGCCGTTCGTTTCTTGTAGTCGCGAAAGTTCGTTTAAGATCTCGCCAGCTTCTGCGGCGTTTCCTGATGAATAAAAGGAGCATTTTATATGCGTTTCAGGCAATTGAGAACGGTCAGATTGTTCAGAGCAGAGGATGATACAGGATTGAGATGGATTATAGAGGAGGTGAATGCAGAGGTGTTGGGAGAAAGAAGATTGATATTGGTACCTATTGGAAGTGGCGCCGTTCGGGGCGAAATAATGTTAAGAGGCGACACCGGGTCAGGACTGCGAGAGGGAGAAAAGAACAAGTTCGAGAAAAAAATTAAGGAGTGGCTGTCATAATACGGAATTTTATGTTATAGATTGATGTTTCTTTGGGTGTAGTTATCAATATTTTAACTTCTCGAGTCGGAATGGAATCCTGGGATTGTAGTACAAACTCGGTTTCCTCTGCACGAGGTAAGGTCTGATATCTCGAATAGTTGGTGGAGTATCGGCAATTGATTTATTGGTGGGAGATGAATAGAGATATATTTAAGCTCGGGAGGAGTGTGGAGCATAGAATGTTGGAGACATACTTTGCGTTTCTTCGAGGTGACTGAAATGCTGAAATGACGGTGGATCTAGTGGGAGGATTTCTTCGAGGCAGATATATTTCTCCTTTTGCGTTTATGGGTATGGTAATGTGGGCAGTGTATGCATTATTTGCTCATTGTACAGAGCACTATTGTCGAATCCCATAATGATAAAAACTCATAGTCTTGACTGTCACTGAGTAATGTGATTGGACAGCAAAAGAAGGCAGGCAGTGCTAAGCCCCTGTCTATCCCTCATCAATTGTTTATTTTCACGCCGTGATCTTTTCCGTTTGGATGGTGCAGATTGTTTCATGGAAAGGCATGTTTTAGCTCTACATTGTCGCCTTTTTAAAACGCGAGGAGAGGGAGTGGAAAATTGATTCTGGATGAGGGGAGTCCCTGGATTGAAGATGATTTTCTGGCGTCGAAATCTCGTTTGGTGTGTGCGAAGAGGAGCACGAGTATCCATGACTTCAACTAGGTAGGTATCTAGCGAGATGAGGTATGCAATTTTGTATTGTGGTGGAATTGGGACGATCCATGGATAGTTCAGTAATGCTTGATCGTGTATATCTTCTATCTTGCTTTGTACCGAGGAGGAGTCGACCACCAATTACCACCTAGGTAGTTGGTGATTTTCCAATTGGGAAGTACGTACTCATCAAGGTCTAGGTACTCGAGTAATTTTTAAGTATCCCCTTTGTTAATCTACTACTATGACGCTCGATTTCTAATTGCGAAACTTGCTAGTGAATATCGTCCGTCTAACTCGCTTGCGAATATGGAGGTTACAATCTACTTTTTCCACATCCTGTGGAATTCTTTGACGGGAAGTGGAATATTCTTTGACGTGCGTGTTAGCTTGTGCTGGATCAATGTAACTTTATGACGCTATGTTTCATGGTTTGAGGGTGATGTTCCGTGTGGCGGGATGGAATGCTTGAAGGTGTATGAGATTGTGTTGTTATACTCGATATTGGCTAACAATGCTAAGTTCTGAAAGAACGTGTAGATATTAGGTCTGATAACCTCAACCTTGCTATTTTTTTCCCTTTTAATAAATACCTTGTTTAGTAGTGTCAACTTGAGCTTTCGTAAGATTGTTGGAATCATTCAAAACTGCAGGATATCCACTTGCCGTCTCAGACACTCGCTCGAGAAAAGGATCATCAATCAATGTCTGTTACTCCAGATGCCCAAGATCTCCTTTCCTTCCTATCTATGTTTTGCTTTAGAGGTTTGCAGCCTTATACATACAGACATACATCTAGACAAGATCTGATCTGAATTGAGGCGGGGCAAATGGATTCGTCTAAACAAGGAGTAGATAGACAAGCAGCCTTAATTTAGAGTTGGCCATGAACCCGGAAGCAAAGGAAGCCATGAATTGTTTTGTTAAATTCTCCTCGTCTCTTGCTGTATGAGGTCATGAAAGAGATATAAAACGAAAAAATATCAGTAGTGTTGTCTATATAAGGACCTGGCTTGATAAATCCTCCCGTTCAAGAAATGAAATGTCGGTTTCAACGCACAGGAAATCGAATCCTTTTATGCTGGATATCGGAACAGTTCATGCTGATATTAATTTTCATTATGTATGCGAGATATCGAATGTATAAAAAAGTTGAGGTATGTACTCGAATACAAAAAGGATTTTTTATTCAAACCATCTCATCTTTTGCTTTCATTTCTACATTTACTTTTAGGGATTATTTCCTTCACCTCGTTCGTTTAAAGAAATTTTCATTCACATTCTCGAATTCATCGAACTTCTTAGTTCTCTTATCCAAATCATGCCATCGTGTCTCTCCTAAAAGCATCTCCCTTTTCAGCCTAGAAACCGCAATCCTCTCATCCCACTCAACCTCTCCCTTCTCACCCACGATAACGGCGCTTGCTATGTAGTGCGCGTCAAGGACAGAGCGTCACCGTCACAAACGGGTATTCGATCAACATTAATTCTAGAGTCTAGACTAGGCACCGGAAAAGAAATCAGTGAGATAATAACGGAGAGTTTCAATATCGGGACGAGCTGTAGCTGTAGCTGTAGCTGTAGCTGGAGTCAGAGTATCTGGTATACGACGACGGAGACGTTTAGTAAGATGTTGGATCGGAAGAAGTGCGGTTATCAGACCTTTATTCCGTATCTCATGACGTGCGTTTTCTATTTTCCATTCAACCACTCTCTCATAATCACTCACTTACCCCCCTAGATCCTGCAAACCCCTCACCACCACTCCCACCGGCTACACACCCTCTGGACTCTCCAATCCCTAACTCTACTGCTCGAAACGCGGATACAAAGATACTCCCGCCTGGTGCAATAAGACTCCTTATAAAGACAACAATAACAATCGCCACGCAGAAAGTAAAGTACTTTTTATATTCACGGATTGCAAAACGAATGCCATTGGGTATTCACGATACACCTTATAAGTATCTGGGAGTGAGCACTCGGCTTAAGTGAAGGGCTGGGATGGGAAGTGGGGATTTGTTTGGGGGTTGGGAGATGATGTATATGAATGATTTGGAAGGGAGGTTTTTGTACCTTCACTTCGCTTCACTTCGCTTCGCTTTACTTACATTCACGAAACTTGGTCTTTCCCATCCTCATTGATCGATTACTCATGGACTATGAATTCTCTACTCATATCCATCCATCTCTGAGTATCCACTATAAAACCAAAACTCAATATACAGTATACAATTCCACTCTCCTCACCCTCCATCTCCCCAAACCATCAAATCTTCCCAATGATATATACATAGATACCGTACCTAGGTACCTTGTCTAGTATATATCTCCCCCCATAGACCTATCAAATCACATTTCCAAATTCCAACATCATCCACCCAGATTATAAAAGGGGAGGTACATACCAACCAGCTCAATTTATCGCTTTATAAATAACTAGCTATATCCCTATTTTTTTTCCTTTGAAATCTTCCCCTTCCCCTTCACCTACACACCTATCTACACACCTATCTATCTACCCACACAGCCAAAAAAAGCAAAAAAAAAAATTATATAAAAAATACAAAGCGAATTCCCGCAATTCACTCACGACAGGCCATGAAAAATCATTTAACAGCGCGCTGATTCTTTCATTCACCCCCCCCTCTCTATATCACATCACCAGCTAGAGGTGAAGAGCGAATGCTCGCTCATTTTATAGTGAGTGACATCTCTCGAGGTCATCGTGATCGTGGGAAAGTACTTCCTCTTGAGTCTTGAGTCTTGAGTCTTGATAGCTCTTCTCTTTTGAGAGTCAGGTTTGGTTTGGTTTGTATAGGTAGGTAGGTAGATACCTAGGTACTGTAGCTAGGTACTCGAATATCGAGAGTTATAGTCGTCTGTCTAGTTTAATTATGTCCTTGCAACCCTCATATGGATATATATATATATATATATACAGTCAACATCTCATTACGAATTCAAATTCGAATCAGATGGAGAATATGACAATATGACAATATGGTAATGATGAAGAGATAACAGATTGAATAACATTGGGAGATTGAATTTCGATCGTTGTAGATGTGCATACTTCGAGATGAGCCTATCTCACCCTCGAGGAAGGAAGGTGATTGCGATTAGGGATTCTTGCGTGCGCGAAGTGAGATGTGGAGGAGTACTTATGCAAAGCCATAACTCTAATTTCTCTTTCTGAATGCAGATGTCTCTCTACTCTATCGATTAACCACCGTCTTACTCTTACTGTTCTCCTCCACTCCCAATGATCCACTCCGCTCTCTCCTTCAACTTGAACTTCTGAATCTTCCCACTAGCCGTCTTGGGATATTCATCCATCCAGAAGATATATTTCGGAACCAAATGCCCACTCAAATGTGTCCTCACATGGTGTCGAATTGCTTCTTTAGTGAATCTTGGGGCTTGGCCCTTTTCTCCCTCCGTGGTTTTAGCTCCGGCCTCTGCTTTGAAGATCTCATTATGGCTGCTGGCATTAATTCCGTTCTTCACAAGTTTGTCATAAGTTTCCCAACTCATGATATCGTTCGCGACCCCCGCATCATCCGATCCTCGACTCACATCCTGTCTAGGTACAATCCACGCACAAACTACCTCTCCATATTTGTGGTCCGAAATTCCAACCACGCTAACCTCCCTAACATCTTCCATACCAAAGATGCAGTCTTCGATTTCAAGCGGATGGATGTTTTCTCCTCCCCGTATAATCAGATCTTTAATTCTCCCCGTAATCTTTACATAACCTTCTTCATCCATACTCGCTTCATCGCCCGTCTTCATCCAAACCTTCCCATCTTTATCGGTGATCAAGACTTCTGCGGTGCGATTTGGATCTGCATAGTATTCTTTCATAACCAGATATCCCGAGACGGCCAATTCACCGCGTTGACCTAATTGCAGAACTTTATTGGAATCAGAGGGTGAGACGATTTTAGTAGATACATGAGGTAATTGCTTCCCCACGCTATCAAGTCGTTTTTCCATCGGATCAGTTGGAGTCGTCATACAAGAAACGGGGCTCGTTTCCGTCATTCCATAACAAATTGTTAGACCAGTAAGGTTTAATTGTTTATGAAGCTTTTCCATCAAGGATTTGGGAACGGAAGAACCAGCTACGATACCTGTGCGTAAATGTTCAAAGCCAGTATGAGGAATGGTACCCGTAGAAAGAAGTTCGAGTTCGGCGAGAAACATGGTGGCAACCCCATAAAGAGCTGTGGCTTTGTTTTCTTGAATGCTTAGAAGAGTTGCCGAAGGATTGAAAGCAGGGGAAGGAAACAGAATTGTGCTGCCATGAGTAGCGGTTGCCATATATCCGAGAATAGAACCGAAGCAGTGAAATAAAGGGGGTGGACAACAGACTATATCTGATGGTGTGAGAGCCATACGAGAGCCGATAAAATAGCCATTGTTGAGAATTGAATGATGGGTCAAGCAAGCTGCTTTAGGAGTCGAAGTTGTACCTGATGTGAATTGAATATTGATTACATCATCTTTATGCAATTCCTGATTTGGAATGACTTCCTTCTCTTTCTCTGATCCATAAATCGACATCATCGTTTGAAAATCAATGGTAGCTGGCAAACTCGCAAGTTCATCATTCGGACTTTTCACTAGAACAACGTTCTTTAAACTTGGAACAGCTTCACTCTTCCATTCATTCGCGAGTTGCCTGAGATCCCCAATGACATCTTTCAGTAAAGGTGTATTGTCCCTGGGGGGCTTAAATGGTAAATGTGTTTCATGGCCAATTATCAGGTGAGAAGCCGCCAAGTGGTTTAAGGCCGACACCACTTGTTTCGTATTAAATGCTGGATTTAACGGTACCTATTTCAAACAGCGATTAGCACCTCCCCGATCTTTCAAAGCCATCTTTACCTCTGCTGAGATTCACTTCCATCATCCTCAACTTACCAACACAGCACCCAATTTCCAAATTGCATAAGTGATTGCTCCAAACTCCCATCCGTTCCCCAGACTAACAGCTACCCTATCTCCCTTCTGCACACCCAAATTTCTCAACCCACATGCTATAACATTACTCTTCTCATCCAATTCTCGATATGTAAGTTTTACATTTTGGGAGCGAGATATGAGTGCAAGGTTATCACCATGAGCGTTGACGACGCTGCGGAAATGTTGGGGGATAGTATGCTGAAGAAGTGGCGGCTGAGAGGAAGCGGATCGTTAACTTGGTGGTTATAAGAGATTGAAGATAGATAGACGGGGTTAGAGGGTATCGAGTATAGGGGGAGGAGAAGGAAGAAATGAAACCAATTACCTCGTTAGGTCCAGCACTATAACTCTCTGTCAACAGACCTCTCCTTTGAAAGCGCATTCCAAGCCCAAACCCAACTCTACTTCTCATTGTACTCCCCGCTCTCACTCCGCCTCCTAGGCTTCTCGCCATCTCACTCCTCAACTTAATTCCCAAACCATCTCCACATCTCCATCCCCGCATTCCAGCTCTGGCTTCCGTTCCTGCTTTCGCTCCCGCAATACACAATCTAGAAGCCATATCATCTATGAGAATAAAGAAAACCACTTACTCCGAAACGAAACCCAAAGCTTTTCAGCTCATGGCATAGGTACATGTAACAAACCAATATATATATAAACATTGTGAAATGCTGTCCCACTAAAGCACAAAAGTACAACAAGTACTTCAGCTCTCGGTTCAAAAAGGCGGGGTAAGCTCTTTCGGCCGATGTCAGACCCATAATTTATCTATGTACTCTGTGGTATTCCCATTGCTGGAAAAGTTACCCCTGAGTCTTGGCTACATATTAGATCTGAGATCTATGTCATAGTTAATATATCCCAGAGATAAAATGCAACAGAAGAGTTGTCTCGGAAAAACGAAGTGGCATGTTATCATGATTGCTTGGTCCTCGACTTATTGATTCCTTCTCCTTATTCACAATACCAATAGTACAACTATATATACAACTCCACCGCCGTAGACTCTTCCCCAATCTCCGAATCCTCCTATGGGAGTACTCATTAAAGATATTTTATCCGTATCCCAAGCAGGTCGCATCATTGCTTCAACGATTCCACCATCTATTCCACCTCCCAAGGCAATCCAGAAGTACAAAAATCCAATGATACACAAATTTCAGCTCTTGAAAATCCATGTCTTCTGCTTTTGGCATTACAGCCAAACATAGAAAATTCGGGGCCTGCTTCCACATACACACACTTTCCCCTCCATCCTTCTTCAACCATCCAAACAAGAATGAAATTGTATCCCAATATCCCAAATCTCAAATCAAACTCCATGCTAATAGAATAAAAGCAAACGCAGAGGTATTTTTTTTTAAAGGACAACCATTCTATGTTTTCCCATCAAACAAAAAAAAGAAAAGAAAAGCCTCCCATTGTGCTCGTCAGTGTGCCACTCATGCATTCGATGCTCGCTCAAAATCGACTATTGTATGTGCAATGTGCTCATGATTTTTTGTAAGGAAAAGTATCTGTCGTCGGGAAGCGAATATTGATTTAATTCGCCCCGACATGTCGTTCGTTCTCAGGCTTCCACGACCCTAAATGATCAGGTTAGTTGATGCGCTTATCATAGAGAGATCTTCCAGACAAACCTTCGAAGTCGTGCTTCACAAAAGCCATAGGATCATCATAATCGTTTGCATTCATTTGTCCAACTCCAGGACTGAAACTCGTAATAGGCAAGACAACCACATCACCAACCTTCTTTGCTGATACAATGCCTGTGAAATCTCTCCATGTGATGTTTCCCTTGCTTGTCGTCATGTCAAAATATTTCTCATCGTTCAAAAAGTCGAAAATAGTATCTGTCCACAAAGCGGGGCCGGTGAATGTTACAACATTCTTATCATCAAATTTCTTGAGAGTTCCACGTTTCTTCATGTCCAAAGTCTGTTCAGTAATATTGGCAACGATCTCGCGGAGCACAGGATGTCCAGGCTTTGCTTGAATTGTCCATTGACAAAACTGAATTCTTCTAGAGTACCATTCTTGCCAATCTGGACGATCTGGATCTGCCTCAATGCCAACTACTAATCCAATAGCTTCGCGTGGCACACTCTCGGGAAGCCATTCCGGGGCAGGTTTCAATGCGTGGGTATCAATATCGGAGTAAATTCCACCTCTGGCCAGCAGAATTAGGTAACGGAAGAAATCAGCTTTCAAAACTGGCATAGGTAAGGAATTGTAAGCCTCTAAAACTTCTGGCACAGAAGCATATAGATGCTTTAGCAAATGGACTGCGACTTCGTCGGTGATGACTTCGTGTACGAATCCCGGGTGCTTTTCCGACCAACTTGCTTCCGCAGGACGAAAGGCTTCCCCAAACTCTCCAGATGCTGGTGTGTATTTCCACGTCTGCCAAATGTATGCCGGAAACTTCGTCTCTACGTCGTATGGAAATTGATATGCGAGCTTTTCTCGTAAAGGCGCTCTTGACAAATCTTGTAATAGTGTTTGGGGGACTTGAGTATTCTTTTTGGGTGTAGATGGAACCGCATTTGTCGAGGCTGATGAGCCTGGCTTTTTTTCCGAATCCGCTTCCTCCTTCTCTCCTGCTTTTGGTATACTCGTATCTTGTAATAATATGTTGTTTGATGTAGGTTGATTGTGCGTTCGTGTTACCAGAAATATCATGGTAAGGAAGAAAGCCGCAGCTATCAAAGCTCTCCTGAAGGTCAACATCTTTGCGCAAATTGGCAGAATTTGTATCTGCCGAGTAAAATCGATACACAATATCTCGACTATCCGAACGAATTCGTCCTTTGTCCCGAGAATTGTCTTTTACCGTATGGTGAAATGTTCTCGTCCAGAGGATCTGGTCGCTGAATAGGCCGGCCGGACTCTAGGAAATTTTTGGGCAGTCAATTCAATGCCAAGATGGTAACGCACATAGGCGTGTTTGATAATGGATTGCGGAACCAACAGATAGCTAGCGTTTGATATGAGACTAGAAGTGATTGAAAAAAAAAGAAGATGAGCCTCGATTCGACAATCAAGCTGGAGTAAGGTAGAAAAGATATTTTTAACTTGAGAGTAAAGGACAGACTTTGAGTGGATTGTATGAAAAGGAGTAAGAGAATGAATGGGTAAAAAGATGGGTTTTGGGGGGGAGGAGGGGGGGAGTGAAAAGTAGATATATATTTCTCGTACCAAGTTTCGAAAGTCAATTGGCAGACACTTATTCCAAATGAATAAATCGGTACAATACTAGGTAGGTATATCGTAGAGTATGGTAGAGGTAGAGGTATACTTTTGCACTGTCATTGATCGACCTCTTATGATTGTTGATCTTTTGCGTAATAAAATGAGTCCCAAGTGATCTTTTTTTCTCTCTTTCTCTTTGATCGTTGCTCGTCTAACCAAAAGTCCTTGAAGTACCTAAGTACGGAGTCGAGAGAGTAGTTGGTAGAGAATGTTTTAATCCTCTCGGTCTTTTTGTCTTCTTGTCTTCTTGTCCTTTTGTCTTCTCTCTATTTAATCATCTCATTCGTCCATCGGATTGAATTGGATTGGGTGATTCTTTCCTGAGAGGCAAGCTTATCATGAATATTACAACCAACCATGGCGATATCAGGCCTGTGGTGCGAGTCTTACTGTATGCGTCGTGAAGACTTTGACACTAAAACGGTAGGAATGGGCCGAATTCAGTGACGAATCATCCCTGTCGATAATCGTACGAAGCCAAGGAAGTGCTGGGAAGTGCTAGGAAGTGCTAGGAAGTGCTGGGAAGGAAGTGCTGGGAAGTGCTGGGAAGTGCTGGGAAGTGCTGGGAAATGCTGGGAAGCGGAGGAAATAGTGGAGGAAATGGGAGAAGAGAAGAGGAGAAAGAATCCAAAGCCGAAACCAAAAATAGAGCAAGAGAAGCCAGGGAATCGTTGGAATACGCAATGCGATGATGGATGGGAGGCTGTGAAGAGATAACTTTTGACTGACCGTTTCATCATCGTATGGTATTATTGTATTGTTGTATCGTCTAGGTAAGCCATTATTCCATTATTCCATTATCACGACTCATCATTAGCAGGCGAGGAGAGTTCAAGAATGAGGTCAAGGCAGGCAGGCAGAGTCAACGAATTATGAGATACAGAGGATCTGTTCCTGTATCTCAATGTGGAGGAGCTTACATTGATGACTATGACTATGACTATCCATGACTATGGCTATGGATGGCTACTCCGTATAACCATAATACTATCAGATCATTGGATCCTATGATCTATCTATCTACTATCTACTTACTACCTACTACCTACTATCTACTATCTATTATCTACATATCAAAGTTGCTACCTACTCGATCAAGCCGGACTCTGTTTCAGCTTTTCTCTCCTCTCCATCCAGTCACAAACGGAGGAAATCCCTCAAAATCTTCCAACCAATGCAATGCAAGGAAAATGATACTACCACGAACATACTTTACATGTGCTTAATCTATCATCGACATCCATCCCCATCCCCATCTCCACCAAAGAAACGCGGCGTCTCCAACCAATATTCAGACCACGTTTTCTCCGCTCCTTCACTCGAACTCTCCTCTCCTTCCTATCAAAGTCAAAGTATATATTCCCTCCACTCACGAGAAGTTTCGTCCTGAATACTTACGTCGACATGCAGAACCAACATACGCATAAACTTTGCAAGCCGCGTAACCATTCGGAGGATCTAACCAGTCAGTCAGGAAGGCAAGATACTCGAAACTTATAAATTATATTATATTAATATATGTCTTTAAGAGACAAGCACGCACATTCACATCCCCATCAAGCCCCGAGCCAAGTAACAATCATTATCCTTTATCCCTCATCCCTCATCCCTCATTATCAAAGGTGGTATTGTGCCGTTGATATACCGACATGCTCTAGACTTATTTGAAGTTATTTCTGCATCTCTCACAAGGGGTGATCCAGGGGTAACCGGCCAATCGCACTCAACCTGGAGATGGAAAACGTTGATCGCCTTGATGACTTCATCACATCTCCCAAAATCGCACATCGTAATATATCTTTCTACTCAAACCAGAAAATACAATCTGAACACACCATCTTGAAACAAACTTAATCCAAAGCTTAATTTTCCAAGACTCGACGGGTCTGACAGTCTCGGGAGTCTGTGAAAGGCGGATGAGTTGCGCTTGCGGGTGGGTTATGGGATAAATCGGATATGCAAACACAGACGTTCCATCCAATCTTCGTCAATGTCTGCATATAATACCAAAGTGCAGGTGTTTTTGATACACAGAAGATTATGCACTGACCTTCTTCGTATATATTACTCACTTTAGCTACCTTTCTATGCGTTCGCATGTACGACCCCTCATTCAATATACGTGAGCATGCTTTGCGTCTCGCTATCTCAACAAAACAACATCTATCCAATCGCGAGCTCACATCTTCGTCTCCGCATTCTAAACCTCACCATCCTCTCTATCTCCATACCGCATGCTTACCACGCCATCCCATTTGATTCCTCCCCGACCCGGCTTTACAGCCGATAAATCTCATTCGCACGACGACCCCTCAATGTGATACCGGTCCATACAGAGATATCGTCGATCCATCACGAACAGGTTGACAGACCCACTAACCTCAAACATACATCTGAAACTACAATCAAGGTCATCTCCTCAAGCCACCTCACCGATTCCTGGGGCTCGGAGAATATCCATTTGATCCCGATAATCTATTTTCAGCCTTTAGTACTACACGCCATCTTACTTGGCAATGGACGGATCGTATCATGGAGAATAATCTGTTTTTGGGATGAAGATACGCACTCGGTTAGATATTGATGCATGGATTGGTAGCGTTCGCTGATTTTGCTGTAAGAGTCATGTAAGCCAGGAGAACAATATCAAAGCTGTATTTTTCTATTTAAGGCAAAGGAGGCTCATCAGCTTTCTTACTCTCGCTGCAGCCTGACTCGGGTTCCCGCTTCTTATCCTTCAATTTCAGCTGTCATGTATCAAGCGATCCATGCTTTCACTGTATTCTCATTCTCCCTGATTCTTTCACACGCAGGCTATCATGGCGAGGCTACCTGTCCTATCTTATTCATGTAAGTTTATGGTGTTTAGATCCTAAGTAAGACTGCACGCTTTCAACATGACTGGGAGAAAATAGTAAGAATGGTGGAAAATGGCAATGCTCCCCCAGTACTTTCTTTGAACAGCATCAGACCAAGCTTAAGAATATCAATCTACAGCAATGATGATCTATATCCCATGGAAGTCCATGCGATGAGAAGCTCTAGTAGGCCATATTCGAAATTTTCTCGACAATGGACCATGTTAATTTGATGCAACACATTTCACTAAGTCGCAACCGACAATCACTATTAAGGCTGTGAAGTCAGGTATAACTTTTCAGCACACGCAGGCCTGATTAAGTACAGTTTCTCGCTCATCTCATTCCAAGTATGCAGCATACATATACTTTTTGTTCTACTTTATAGAACTATCACTTGTTAGCAGGAAGAACAAGAGAAGCCTGTGCATGCACCCTGTACTAAATCAAGGGTAATTCCGGAGTATATATCTATCTACTATACATTGTACGACAAAATATAAATTCCCATACCAAATTATGGAGCATCACAACAGCATGATAATGAGATTACTCTGTCAGGTGGTGTTATATCAAATGACTGAGGGGAAAGAGATCCTTAGGCAGTAGCTTGTAGGTGAATGTGTATGAAAATGTTTGCATATCAAGCTGCAAGTACACATTCATTCTTGCCAAAACCGTGGCGTAAATCCGTTGTGGCACGCATGCATGCGTGTATATTTTCGCATATTGAATCAATACATAGGAAAGCAATGTAGTCAATATTAAGATTAACAAATATCTCGCATATATCCTTCACTCCACACACTTCATCACCAACCATACCCCACTGCGCTCTCTTTCACTCCAGATCTACTTCTACTTATATCTCATAATTCGAGCGCTACAAGTCACACCGACAATAAAATCACAGCTACAAACCAAAGCATGCCAAATCCATCAAACACCAAATCCCCGACTTTCCAATCCCACTCGCTGTTCCCGAGCCAGAGTCAATGATACTCATCTTCAATACACAGATCCTAGTCTTCTTAACTCCCATTCGCGCATTTCTTGCAAGCGTATATCGATTTGATGCTTACGATCTAATCGCTAGTTCCAGGAAAGAATTTCGAAGCTTGATCGGGGTTTCTTTCTTCGTCTAATTATATGAGTCTTGAGGTATTAAAGGGGTGTATTGTGCGATAGGGATGTGATATGTATGATAGTATGATATAATCTTTTGCATGAGTCTACGAAGTTGATGAAGAGTACAAGTAAGTACAAATCATACCATCCATAACCAACAGAACAAACAAACAAGCCAACACAACCCAACCCAACCCATCATCTCAGAAAACACACCACAGATCTCTCACACATCCCTCGTCCCACCAAGCGCCGCTCTTGAATGAAAACCACGCGTCCACCCCAAATATTACGCAATAGGAAACTCGCATCCCAGCAGCTCTACAGAACAGTATATGATACATTGAAAATACATTCATTCTCCAGTTACTGTTCGTTCTATTCCCAGCTCCGCACATCCCTCTATCCCCTGGGAAACCTCAAGTTCACGCATGCACGCACAAACATACATCAAATATAAAGAAAGACAATTTCTACTCCGGTCCAAACACTCAGCAGATATATCACCATCTTCCTAGGTGACGTACGTACGTACAAGATAAGTAGCAGCAGCACGCACCGTAACCCTCATATCGATATCAACACTCCTTTCCACATCCATATCTGCGCGGTCTTTGCGTGGGAAAGGAAAGTTTTTCTTTATCGCATTCATCAATTGATAGCTTTCTCAATCCTAAAGATTGGTTGCGTGAAGTTCTATTTCTTCTTTTCCTTCTTTTCCTTCTTTTCTATACACCATTCACCATTCGCTATCCCAATCCACACACCACACATTATACATTATACACTACACACCATACATTATATATTATACACCACATATCATACACTATATATTACACACTATATACTATACACCACACACCATATACCACACACTACATATCATATACTATATACTATATACTACATACTATACACTATACACCACACACCACACACTATACATCATACATTATACACTATATACTACATATTATACACCACATACCACACATTATATACTATATACCATACACCATAGAATACAAAACCCCCACCCTTCCAAGCATTTCTCCCCACAAGGCACAGTAGTACAATTTGAGAATAACCACACACACAATTTCGCATATTCAAAAATTCAAACACCCAAACACCCAAATACCCATATCCATCCACATCCACATCCCATCCTAGATTCCTCCTAACCATCGCTATCCAACACAACCAGCTAGCTAGCTAGCTAGCTAGCCAGCTATCAACAATGCACCATAACCTTACCCAAATTCCGTCTTCCTCACAAGTCACGATCCCAATCTAAGATGAGATGAGAAACTCCTCATCCCAATCCTCATCCCAATCCCAATCCCAATCCCAATCCCAATCCCCATCCCAATCCCAATCCCCATCCCAATCCCAATCCCAATCCCCATCCCTCGCGACAATCAGACAATCAGACAATCCGACACGAAAGATGAAAGATGAAAGATCAACCCACCCCATGAGACATAAATAATAATTCACCCGGGCACCTAAACACTCTCAGCATTACAAGCCACCCCACCCCACCCCACCCCATCCACCGGTGGCACCACCTTCCCCTCCGACCTCTGACTCACCCACAACAGCTGGAGCAGCATGACAAAACATATGGATATCTCAAGCAAGTCACGGGTATCTCTCGCACGTTTCCCAAGATTCACTCACTCATTCGAAAGTTAAGCGCACCTGGGCAAGCCCAAGAACAAGATTAAGAAGAACGGCAACCTATATCCATATCCATATCCATATCCAGATCCACCCTCAAACCCAGAGCGACGCTTCCTCAGGCGTTCTCGAATAAACATACGTATTCCCTGGGTGCACACAGCACAAGGTACTTTGTCAATTCCACACATGTATCAGAGACAATAGTCGATTGCAGACACCACACACAACACACGCAAAGTCAAACAGAATATGCGACGAATTTTGGGGGGTATCAATATTTATTTCAATTATATTTCTCTCTTCTCTTGATCATCCCCAAGTTGCTAGGACGCACAATATCCAGCAGGCGAAGTTGTGCATCACACACACTAGAATAAACCAGTAAAGCAACGCACAAGTTATGTGTCGTATATCTGACCGAACCTATCCATTAAGTGAACTGTATGGTAAGGATATTCCAGGCCAATGTATCAATCGAGCTACAATGCTCTAGATTTCCTTCACCAATCCATCTCTTCAAACAAGCCTTCTGTTCCATGAGAGGATGTTCCCAATACATTCTGCCCTTCCGCTTAAATACCATTGATCCCTTCTTGTATTAATCATAACCCTCCACCGATCTAACATAATCCCATAGATCAGAATATCATCTTGCCAATCACGAATTCATTCTTCATGAGAAGAAAACGTCAAAAATGTCCGACTAAAAAATACAATGTCCCCCTATTTAAGGGACTCCCAAACACCCGTCTTAATGCATGCAAATAATGGTATAACAGCTGCTTGCTAATAAATATGCAATGAAGCCTCGCTGACCCCTAAGAAAAAAACGATAAAAAAAACGATAAACAAACGCCCCGGCTAAAATGCTCATATCATGCGAATTCCCTTTCTTCCAAGGGCAAGTTCGACTCTTTTTTGTTTCTAGAAACAATGAAAATAATTCGACACAGCTAGTATCAGTTGACGAAATTGGAGTTTATACTCCGTGAAAATTGGGTTGAGGTAGTACAGGCCATTGGTTGGTAGATTGATGACCGTATCCAGGCACCACACCTGATCGGTAATCATGTCTCTTACCCAATGGCTGATAATGTATATGATTTGTGTTTACATTATAATCGTGCATGGAAGCAGTGGGTGGTGGATAGAGGAGAGTGTTCACGTGACGAATAGGCTTATAAGGTGAGTTCCGCTGTTGATAGAATACAGATGGTGAAATGTGACCAGTGTTTCCGGGAAAGGACGCATTGAGCGGAGAAGGCACGGTTGCAAGTAGTTCCTGAACGGCTGAATGAGGACTACGTTGGCGAGATGGTGTTCCAAAACTTTGATTACCGTGTTGATAAGTAGTGATTTGGGACCCACTAGATTGACTTCCAGTAGAGGCGTGATTCAAAATAGGTGGTGGATAAGTTGGAGTGGTTGGGTAGACTGTGGACATGGCTCGACTGCCATGCAAAGGAGGTAAGAGTGGCGCGTTCTGAGAAAAGCTAGGGAGACCGTTGTACCCATTCATTGCTTGACTTGTCGAGATCGTTAAGTTAGGTACTGGCGGTAAACGAGGTCTAGGAGCCATGTTAAAATTCCCAAGGTCACTGGGCGTTGAGGTAGTTGACCTGGATACACGCTTTGCCACCGGTTCTTCAACATCATCCGGGAAACTTCTCTTCCTTGAATGCAGGCGGAAATCTTGGTCTGAAGGAGTCGAAATAGTCGTCAAGGGCGATACCAACTGAGCGACACTATTACTAGCAGGCCACTGTGGGGTGAGATTATTCGATCCAACTGAGGATGTGTATTGACTTGTTCGTGTGGGAGGCGAAGCTTGCATCGATGCAGGAGGTGAAGGGAGGGTAGGTTGGTACATGGGTGGAGGTGATAATTTTGTTGCCCTATCACAAAAACTCCAAAATTTTCCAAGCTTTTGTTGCCATTCCTTCCACTCCTCTTCGGTTGCGAGTAAACTGTAGCGCATGTTGCTCAAAAATTCGACTTCCATGATATGGATTTCAGTGACGGAAATTCCCGAAACTTCAGCCCATGTCTTGTTTGTATATGTATTGTCATCAAGGACTAATTTTTTGTAAGCAAGAATTTTCACACTCCATAAAAAATCAGGTCCACTCACATTTGTTGCCCAACATTAATGCAACCGTTAAGAGCCTGTATTCGCTTCCACTTCGTCCCTTGACTGCTGGGTTAATGGATTTCAGACGGTAGATGAAAAGTAGTGCCAACAAGATGACATTTTGTGACACCTGCGTAGTCATGAGAATCGTAACAACCCATTTTGTGAACCCAACCGATGGGAAAGCTTCTGGACGGAGCCTTTCTGTTGTCGTTGATCCCACCCACGAGTTTTCCGCCCTCTTCAGAGTATCGGTGGACTCAAACCAGAACAAACAGGTAATCTAGAAAAGTCAGATCTTGAACGTGATCGGAGTAGAATCATTAAGAGTTATGAATTACCTGAGCTGCAAATTCGGCTAAACTCCCACCGCTGTCATTTATTGATTTTGGGATTTGCAAACTGGGGTGAATAGTATCTGTAGTTGATGGCTTTTTGGCTTGCGGCTTTCGAGTGGATTCAGACTCCAATGTAGACAGGGCAGTAGCTTGAGATTGATGGTTTTCCTTCACTGGAGGCCAGTTATAAGACGACTCAGGTTGCAAGGTCTCTGAGTTTTTTATCGCACTATTAATGTGAGCTCCCGGCGCTTGGGGGATTAACGAAGGCTTTCGCGAATGACAGGCTGGTCCATCGTAATCGTTCATTCTGCCAACATTGATTGACGCCGGGTAATCTTCATTCTGCCGACTCTTGTAGTTTTGATATTGAGAAGTTGGATACGTTGCGTGCATATCGTCTTCGGGTGGTGTTCGAAGCCCAACTCTGACCGGAGCTTCTATATATCTTGACTGATTTATTTGTGGAAGTGTTAGGGGAAAACCAATGTCCTTCCGACGATCGATTCCAAAGGGAGTCTGTGGTGTAGGAGGTAAAAGAAAACTGAACGGAGCCGGTCTAACTGAAGTCTGATGCATTTGGGAATGAACGTGTATGTTGACTTTCGAAGAGGGATTGCTTTTTCTCGAAGGATTAAGGGTTGCTGCTCAGAGAAGATTCGAAATAAGGTGGTATGTGTGGGATTCGAATTCCAGATCGGATGGCAACTATCTTCAAGTGATTCTCGACACGCGTTATGTGTTTCTATGAGTTTTACCAGTGGTAGTCGAAGGTGAAGACGAACTATCAAAGCTAAGATTGGGCTATCCGCGAAGCCATGGAAAGTTCGTCTAATCCCGTCGTACAGAGATTCAACGTACTATTAGATATTTTGATATGAACGAAACCGAGAAGATAGTTAGTAGGCCGCTGCCGATCTGTGGAGTGTAGAGTAATTCTGAGTAGAGTAGTGTATGAAGTGAATTGATCTTTCTTCAATGAGGAAGGAGTCGGTTGATATTGAGGAAACTTTCCTAAACGGGTCGAAACTTTGAGAGTAGCAGAAGACAAGGAACACAATATTGAACTTTGGCTTGATGAATATATCTCAAGCCAGGAAAAGTAAGAGAGATAGAGAAAAAGTGTCTTAGGAGCTGGGAGGTATGTGAGAGAGATGTTAGGAATCTGAGCTTCCTGATGGTATGAATGAAGTAATGGGAAACAATTATAACAAATAATGTATGGATATAAAATTGGAGACGTTGGATCAAGAGAGAAGAGACTATGAAAGAAGGAACGAATAATGTGAAATATCGGAATGATACCTAGGTACAATACCGACCGATATGTAAAAGAATCAACTAGGGTTGAATCTGTATTAGATACGGATACGCAATGATTATAGTATCATTGGTATGGAGATTGATCTTGTCTGGTATGGTACGAGAGACAAAGGGTTATGGTTATGAAAATGGAAATGGAAATGGAAATATGGAAATATGGAATTGAGAGTATGGTACTAGAAGAAAGTGGAGGCTGATTGAAGCATTCATTGATGTCACAGGCAAAGAGCCAGGTACAAGGAGAGAGGGAGAGTGTGCGAGAGGAGTAGTTGAGTGAATGTGGATAAGATAGTTTGAGAAAACACACCACTTCAAACCTAGGTCGACGTATGACTGGGATAAATGATAAAATAAAATCAATTTATTTGTTTTAGAAGGACTTTTTTTTTCTCTCCTCTTCCAAAGCCATTGCACCGGCCTGCCTGCCTGCGTGCCTGCAAGAAGAAACAAGATGGATGCAACGAAAGAAAGGAAGAAAGGAAGGATCCTTTTCCTACGAGATTCCAAATTAGTCTGTCTGTTAGACACAATAAATAATACCAAGCTAGTACCTATGCGCATTAGGAAAGAAAGGGCTTGGTACTAGGGCTGCTAGCCTCCCAGCTAGTGCAATGTAAGAAAAAGTGTAAAAAAGTTATCAATCGGCCAGGATTATATAAGAATGATGATGATAATTAGGATTTCGGGGATTGTGTGCAGGGATACAAAGGGCCACCTATCAAACGTGTATATGATATGAATTCGATGGATGGGCTTAGGACGAGAAGGAGTTTGTGTGAGAAAACAACTTTCCAAGCTTTTCAACATGGAAGGCGACGCGAAACGAAGGCCAGCCAGTTGTGTACCGGTATGTGTGTGTGTGTGTGTGTATGTATGTGTGTAGGGAGGTATGTATGTATGTATGTAGGTAGGTATCATATATCAAAAAAAAAGCAAGCTAATCCTGTTTTTCTTCGATGGAATGAATAATGAAATTGGTCTGGGTTGAAGGTGGAAGGGAGGCTCGGGAGGGTCTGAATATAAAAAATGTGTCTAAATCTTTCCATTGAGGCTGGCTCTGACGGTCTTTGAATCACACTCACTCACAGATGAATAATGTATCGGTTACGCCTTCTCTACTCTATCTTCTTTGCTCCGCATCATTGCCTTTTGATTGCCTCGCATATGTTTGGTCTTCTTTTTCACCTGAGGTGGCCTGTTTGATTGGCTACAAGCAAGCTGGCTTCCTAGCTTTAAAGTGGCAACATATATTGAATGAATTACATCTAAAGAAGTGGTCGGGTCCAGACCTAGTGTTCTGTTCGTGTCTGGGGAGATATGCAGCTCTTGGCCTTTGGGATGGAAATGGATTGACTGACATTTTATCAAACTGGCCTTTTCCCTTTCCATTTGGCAAATCGATAAGTTGATCTATAAAATTGACTAGAATTCCAACCGACAGATTGGGGCTGATTTTTAGCTCGATAGATTAATTATTACTCCTTCGGGCTTCGTATTTCATTTGAACCCATTCTTCCTCACAAAGGTAAATGACAACAGCACCGAATGATCCGAAGCATTCATTCACTAATACATGTGCATGCCTCGTTGGGAGAGGCAAGATACTATGTGAAATTTGAACTACGAAGTATATCGAATTACATACAAGGAGTGCTGCACACATAATCCATGAGCTACCAATCTGACGAGGGCACCTGGGCAACACGATAGGGAGCGGGGATGTTTGCAACACTTTCACGCTGATGCTTTTCTTTTGTGGTGGAGCGTAGCGCGTGGAACAGTGGAAAGCGGTGCAGTAGAAATTGAATGTTGCTGGCACGCACATAGAAAGGCAGAGTCTTGCCTATTCAGTCTTGCCAGGGAAAGGAAGGCCAAAACAGAGAGACAAACTAGGATTATCAATGCGTACGCGCCAGTCTCTCTGTTTTCCCTTCTTGTGATATGACGGTACCACGGCCAATACGGATGTGTGAATGATCAAAGCCTTGCCAGTTGCAGTGCTAGAAGCCCGGCGTAAGAGTACATACTCCGTAATGCAGAAGCATTGACTACCATTCGTGTGCTGCGAATACTCCCTCGTGATTGGTCCTTGAGATGAGACTTGTGCTTGTGCAGTAATAAAATGTAAGGGAATGTTATGAAGATAGACATGGTGCTAGGTCGTCTAAATCTGTTAGTACACGGAGGAGGAGAAGGGGTGGAGTGTAAGGATGAAAGAAGTGATCATAATTGATCAAAATACTAGTGGAAGTGAGGATTTTGGTGGTTGAATTCGATTGGTGATTGTTTGGGAAATATGTCGATGTATCAGCAGTGTGCCACTATTGACAATCATTCGTTGACACCTAGCGTTACGCTTCATGTTCCATCTGACTATGAGGTCTAATCAAACCTACCATTTTCGATTGCCATAGCATCGGTACGAAAGCACAACACGGCAAGAATGGACCAAGGAGATGAAGTGTTTCTAGGATAATCGAGATAGGATAGGATTACTTTCAAGCTACGAAGCTTTCCTCTTCAGTGGCCAAGCGAGAAAAGGCGCTTCGTCGAAGCTCGTTTCTCCATACAAATCTCAAAGCCCCCTCTTGAGTCCTAGCCTCCTAGGCAATAATGCAGACCGTCTACTCGTATGTACTCACTTCGTATGCAATTGACAACGACGCTCGGGATCCTGAATAATCAAATCGATGCGATATCATCGATGAGGGGTGAGGGGATTCGGTTCCGTCTTCCAGGCTGCAGATATTGACGTTCCACCGCCTCTCCCTCATATGATTGGTGTCAAATTTTAGGATCTCTCTTTTCTTCTTTGGCACAATCACATTTTTCCTTCGCTCGCCTGCCCCAAAATGATATCGAGAAAGGTTTCCTTCCCTCTACGTAAGCAAGGCAGGCCCTGCTGAGGCAGTAGCATAAGCAAAGTTCCTACCAGTCACTGAGTCAAATATATCAAACATGATCCGCAAGTACCCTCCTACAGGGGGGGCCACCTATGGCCTGACTTCTTCTGTGTTGTATCAGTCACAGTCAGTCAGGCTGTGTGAATGAAGATGAGACTTTTCCATGATCATCCATCGGCACATTTTCCCAAAATTGACCCGTGATTCTGGGAGAGACTTACACTTTTTGTGGCTGAACTTCTCAGATTCTTCCCAAGTCCGATGGACGCCGCCCCCGTTCACCAATCTAATCACTCAATCCCACACCAATGATTGGATCCTCATCATCCGGTTCGTCAGCTGGGCATTGACTGGTGTATACGACATGCGGACGCTCAATCATATATATTGCTTACTATACAAGCAAGCCATGTAAAATAATCATTATTCTATATACACACCCTAGAAAGCAAAAAGTAAATATACGTAGCTTGCTGCATTGTTATTAGCTGAACTGATGATCTTTGTTCGAAACACTCCTTTTTCAAGGGGAAATGCAGCTTTCAAAAATTTAAGCCGTTGGTTCATCCACCATTCCATTCCAACAATTTCCGGCAGAGAATGGAATGGATAAAATTAACTAAATTATTATAGCCATCGGTGTCGATCCCGGTTGAGGGTGTGATTATTGAATTGTGGACTTCGATTTACTAAATTCCGTTCCCACAACCCATCGTCGTAGTTGGTTCTGGGTTCTTTTCTTTCGTACTTAGCCGTTGGGCGGTGCTTCCATAGATGATAGAACCCTACCTACCTACCTACCGTCAAAGTTTGTGGAGAAACACATAACAAGGAAGGGCGAAATGGCAATATGTGAATAGTTTGCTAACACATATTGCTGATGATCGAAACCCTTCTCGTATCTTGCTCGCCAACGATTGAATGCTTCTAGATTTTGAACTTAGGTGCAGGTCACCATCATCGAAGAAATTTAACTCCCCCCCCCCTGACAAGAGTCCAAGAATTCCGCTCTTTCCACTTTACGCGACTCGCAAATCGCGTGGTCTACATATTTGTCTTCAGTGCTGTACGTGAAAGGGAAGTTTAATGGATTTAGATCGATGATTAGATGGAATTTCGAAGATGGTGGGGAAGTAAGAGGAGGGGCAATGTTCATTTGTTGGGCCCAAGCAAAATCTATCTTGGCTAGTACACATCGATCTTCACAAATATACAGCATCCAGGTATAGACTTTGAAGTGTATGATGTATCAAGCAATTTGTGCTGCGTTCCATCAATGATTATCTGTGTACGTATTCGTTTGTCGGTGCAATATAAATTTTCCCTTACACGGTGGTTTCCCTGTAGAATCGAGGACCGCTACCCCCTTCACACACATAATTCATTCTTCACGCGGCGAACAAGACCTGATTTAGATATAGTACTTATTACTTGTACAGCTAATAAGTTTAGGAATGAGGTGGGATGAGATACTAAACGGATAGCGATTCGGATACATCAAACCTAACATGAAATTCACCTACTTTATTTAGCTGGCATCGTAACCCTGCCTAACACCTATGCTCCATCCATCATCTGAGCATATCACCGTCTATCCACCCGCTATTTTCCTTTGCCATCTTCCTGCACTTACATCCTACATGCCGTATGCGGATGATTGATATGAAGGGGCATGGTGCATAAAAATAATACGCTATGTAATGTATTGATGAAGGTTGAGCTCGATGGTGTTGGATATGGTTTGGTCTGGTTTGGCAAAACCGGAAGGCATGAACAGATTCGTTCCGCTGCCAGTGTATTGTGTTCACCTACTTCCTTGCTCGCCGGTCGGTCCTGTTTTGTGTATGCAGAGCGGGGGCGGAAAACGGTGGCTGCGATGAACGAAGAGTGTGTCATACCATCGTCTTTTGTTGGTGATCCGATAATTGTTTTTAGACCTTCTTGCGTGTGTGTCGCCATCATTAATCTGAGTCAGAGTGTAGAGTAACCCTCTTGGTTCCAATTCAATGTTCCATGGATTCCTTCACCTGGAAAATTCCTTGGAAGGTTGGGTTGAAGGAGGACCGAGGACGACGCATATTTCCATCTAGCTAACAATCGCTGTACTCCTTGTTCCGTTTCCTATGTTTCTCCGTAACCTACCGCCGCTTCAAATTGCCTGCTTGTACGGAGTCAGTGTTAGCTTTGGAAATTAGTCTGACTTGTCCTTGCTCTTCAGAGGCACATGTCCGCGCGTGCCGTTTTTCACTC